AAAGAGGTTAAAAACAGAGCATATAGTAAATAAGTAGAGCCAATCGTCCAGTACCAATTTTATCTTGGAGGGTCAGCTTATGGTTTATTACAGAGAAGAGTCACTTGATGCTGAAAACTGATTTCGAACGACCGATTCTAGTATGGTTTTTAGGTTTTTAGCACTGGCGCCATCTCGTGAACATTTTTGTAACTGCAACGTACGGTAGAAGTGAATTTGAATTGTTTAGCTCAGTCGATGGAACAGATTAGCTCTTTAGGTATATAGGCATAGCTAAATCGTCCTTTTCTTCGTCTTCTTTACGTGTACTTATATTCCTTTATGGGATATGGCATCAGACGCCTAAATCATTTTTCTTCCTTTACGTTTCTTAAAAATTTCTTTTTTATCATTTCAATTGATTCCTCTACCTGCGTTTCGTCTCGCATTTTTCGAAGCAATTAACGCTCACTTTTTTGTCTCTACCTCTGGCGCGGAACCCGCGCGATTTAATCGATCCAATTTTTTCTTTGCATCCCTCCTGCCTCCCCCGGCGCTCCCTCTGCCTCTCCTCCCCACTCCTCGTGTACGTGCTCAGTGCAAAAATACAGCAAGCGTTAATTGCACCAGCCAAAATGTATTGCCGACTCGTTGGATAATTAACAACTGAGACTCTGGCCCGCAGGCAGCCAGCATTTCTGAATTCCCTTTTGGCTTATGGAACGGACGGCCAGTTCGGCACCCTGCAATAAACAGTGTTGATATTAGTTCCCCTGGGTAACTTGGACTGGTCAAATTAAATTACAATTTATTTTATAAGTTCCATGAATCGATCTCATCGGTGGTTAAAAAAAAAGACAATAGATCCAATTTATAGAAGCCATTTGGATCTATAGTAAATGAATAAAACGAAAGGACTTACCTTTTTAGTGGATGAAAAGTCACTTCGATTCAAAAAGATCATCTGATTTCGACTGCTGGTCCCTTTGACTGTGCAATCAAATTGTCTGAGGTGAATCAAAAGGCGAAAAAATTTTTCTAAATTAAATAAAAAAATAGTCGATTAGTTTTTTCAGACTCATGATTTTATTTTTGAACTTTTTGATGTATCCATAATATTTTATTAGGTACCCAATATTCTATTGAGTTCGATTGATCGGTCAATTCGATTATATTGTGAATCGTTGATTCGCATTCTCCAGAAGTCCCGTAGGCAATTACCGTTCGAATGTTCGCGGTTCAGCGAGGACATTTGCGATAAACGATTTATTGAGTTATTAATAATTTTACACCAAATAAACGCAACACGCGTTTCATTGCACAATACGACTAATATTATCAATACACGAAATAAATTATAAATGAAAATCAAAGCAGCGTCTACAACGATAAATTGTGGATATTCTATTTGAAAAAATATTTTTTCCCGCCATATACAATTCGCTTTATGAAAACGTCAAAACACATATCGATCACTGAAACTCTGTTACGTAATTTCCTCACCGAAGCACCCATCGATACCAAACTCTAGGATATTACCTAATTTCCACATGGAATCCCAAGAACCATCATAACCTAATTCCCCGATTAATTTATATCATCCAGAAACACGTAACGAGCACTATATCTAAACAAACCTTGAGATTAACGTATTTCCAAAAACAAACTTCCCCACGTAATTTTCAATTACTTACAGTCTCAAGTAGTATATAATAAGTCATAAAATACTAATTTGATTGATGCAACGTATCCTCCGAGTACTTCCTAAATATGTTTTACGAGCGTCACCATGCCGTCACAGGAGATTAGAAAGGGCCGAACTATTAAAACAGCTCCTTGATTTAGGAAACGAGGTCTGACTGCTATCAGTTTTGAATTATACGACGCTACCGTTAATCAACGATCCGACTGGCGTTAGCGTTTTACGAGACACCGAAGTAATTAATCCGCCATATTAGTGTAAGCTTCGCTAAGTTGACGCACGTGGCGCTTCTTTACCAAGTAGGTAGTCACGTGACCTAAGGAGAAGGATGCTCATTGGCTACGAGTATGTGGCCTGCGTAAACCGTTAAACTTTCAAACAGTCTAAAAGTATCTTTATCCATAAACTTATTTTATTATCCTTTTTAAGCTGTTGACCAGTGGAACCAACTATTCAATTTATTTCACGCAAATCTTTTTTCAGATATAATGTCTCTTTTTTAACAATAACGTCCTTAAGCTTTTTCCTTATATACAGTGGAGACTCGATTATCCGCACCTCAGTTATACGGATTCGTGATTATCCGGATTGCCAACTGCGAAGCAAATATCTTTGTAGTCTAGTCCGTGCGTGCACGGACATGATGCGCTGGCTCTACCCGCCCGCGCCCCACGCGATCTCTTCTTCGCCCTGTTTCATTATTGTTTTAGCTAGACACTTTCCAAACGTTACGCGCGCCGCTGTCTGTTCTTAAAAATGTCAAAGCGCAAGAGAGTGGTGTTATCGCTTAAAGATAAAATAAACATTATCGATTCATTAAAAAAAGGAGAAACCGGTCGTAAGTTAGCCGATAAGTATGGTGTAGGTACTTCTACGATAAGCGATATTAAGAAGAATACACATTCACTTTTAAAGTACACCTGCAAACTTTATAGTGAAGATGGGAGTAAACAACGAAAAGTGATGAAGAAACCGAAAAATGAACTTTTGGAGGAAGCTTTGTATTGTTGGTTTTTACAAAAACGATCAACTGGCCAACCGATATCTGGTCCTTTGCTCCGTGAAAAGGCATTACAGTTAAATAAAACAATAGATGGCAATGAATCGTTTGTGGCAAGTAACGGATGGTTGTACAGATTTAAATCCCGTAATGGAATTCGCGAATTGGAAATACAAGGTGAATAAAATGTCAGCTGATGTAAATGCAGCAAATTCTTTTAAAGACGGTTTTGAAAAAGAATTGAGCGAAAACGACTATGACTTGGATTTTGTTTACAACGCTGATGAAACCGGATTAAATTGGAAATCATTACCGTCAAAATCCTTAGCTTCCCGGCGAGAGAGCTCGGCTCCAGCTTATAAAACTAGTAAGGAGCTAAACTAGTAAGGACGCAAATGCTACCGGGACCCATAAAATACCTTTGCTCCTCATCGGAAAATTCAAAAATGCCAGATGCTTAAAACATATCAGGGTTCCCTTAATTTATAAAAATCAAAAAAGCGCCTGGACGAACACAGAAATATTCATTGACTGGTATGAGAACACGTTTATCCCTGAAGTAAAGAAATTTCAAAACGAAAACGGTAAACAAGGAAGTGTCATACTATTAGTGGATAATGGCGCCAACCCTTCCGTCGACTGAACTGTTAGAGAGAGAAAATGGAATATGTTTAAAGTGAAATTCTTGCCTCCTAATGTGACATCCTTGCTAGAACCAATGGATCAAAGTGTTGTTGAAACATTGAAACAACTTTACAGAAAACAACTTTCACGTAGATTGTTATCTGTCGATGAAGATAACGTAGAAGTCGTTTTGTCATTTTTCAAGCAAATGAATTTAAAGGAGTGTCGTTACATGGTTGTAGATGCGTGGGATTTGATTGAAAGGAAGACTTTGAGCAAAGCTTGGAACAGAATACTAAAACGGGAGCACGGAAATTCAATAACCAATACGGATTATTCTGCTTTGGCGGATATAAATGAGCTAATGACAATTATACAAATATGCCAGGAATGTGATGCCGATGATATGCAAGAGTGGCTTACTTGTGACAGTAATGATCAAGGTTTTCAGATCATGTCGGATGTCGAAATCGTTGAAAACATATTGCAGGCAAACGAACAGGAGGAAATGCAAGAAGATGAAACAGAAGAAAACGTAGATGCAGAAAACGAGGCAGGACCATCTAATGCGAAAGCACGTCAAGCTCTGGAAGCAGCTTTCAAATGGTTCGAAAAACAAACAGAGTTTGATACCGTGAGTTCACTACAATTAAAACGAATTCGTGATGTAGCAGCAATGAAAAGAAAAAATTGTTTTCCTTCAAGTGACAATTACTAAATATTTTAAACAAAATTAAACTACAGTGACTTTCCTATGTGACTCGATCGGTATTTCATGATTAGGGTTGCAGTATTTCAGTAATTTTTAGGAAAATATGTACGTACGTGTACGAAAATGTATCTCTAATCTCATAACAAACATTGATTTTTGTTGATTTTAATAAGTTTAATTTGTTTTTGTTGTTTTGAATAAACACCTAAAAGTGTGTATTAGCCCTAGAAAGATACCATATGACAAGGTAACTAAAAGATAACCATGCGCGGGCGCAGTAGGTTATCTTTCTAGAGTTAATTGTATATGCAATACAAAAGCCGCTTTTCTTCATACATTCAATTATCCGGATTTTCGATTATCCGAATGACTTACGACAACAATTAGTCCGGTAATCGAGTCTCCACTGTATATATAAATAGTGACATACACGTTCAGAGGTATAGAAACATATTAAGCCATGTATATAGATAGAATAATGTATTTATATAAATGGGTCCATGCGTTACATAAGAGGACATCACGTCCTTCCTATAGCTGTATATATTATATATGTATATATATACATCGGACTTACACTCGGATACAGATCCTGCAGGCTAGGTTGCCCGTTTAGAGTTAGTGCCTGTCATACATAATTGAAAACCAGCACGCACCACGTCCAACAAAGCCTATAAATCTCAATGTAATGGCAGCACTACGGTAACTTCACTTATTAACAACTAGCAACAAATATCAACGAACTGCATCGAATGGCAAAAGTAATTTTAACGATTAGTCCTTATTGACGATCGTAGATTTAACAGTTATTCAGCTCCGTTCGGATGTAAAAGTATTATCCAGAAGAGCGGTGTGAGTTTTTCATGTATATTTATATGTTGTCCAGGTTACGCCTTGCCAATAGTTTTCTGCTGTACAGTACCTACGTATATTCACTTACACAGTAATAATTTGTTTTTGAAATTTAGTTGAATATATTTAAAAAAAAAACAGGGCAGATAAAATATTTAGTTCTAAATAATATTTGAAATTTAAAAATCGTTCATCTGGTTTCTCTACTAAGATCTGCTGCCATATACGAAAGCTCCAGTTAGTTATCTTCAATCGATAATTACAACCAAATCCTATGGCAGCTATGTGTACTGTGCTAACCTAACTTAACTTAACTATTAATTCCTACCCTAGAGACCTGTAAGGTATTTCTATATAAATTTTAAGGGCTGAGATTCTTCGGAGTTATTACGTAGGCAAGTCATCGTAAAGAAGAGACCGCCGCTACGAAGATACAAATTTTTCAAAACTTATTTTCCCACTGAGTATAATCTACACGCTAGGCTTTTTTACGATGCTGTTGTATATCGTTCATTACCGCGGACCCAACGTGGCACTTAACTACTGCACGGCCAGTGGCTGACTCATTGCTGACACCATCTACTACGTCCAGTCAGTTTCCTGCCTTACCGACTGTGTGGATACTAAACTCTCACCCTTCGGCTAATAAAAAAGGCCATAGGGTCTTTCTTTATGACTGTTTAGTCTATGCTTAATATTTTCATTTCATCGTTTACTTTTCATTCTTTACGCACTGCCGCCACGCCACGCCCCCCCCCCTCCCCCGTCATGATCTGATCTTGCGCGGAACGCTGCTAAACCATATACATATTTCCTCTTCGCGATAGCTTCCAATATTCTTTGTTTTCTTCTTCTTCTCATTGTCGTCCTTCGCGAAAAAACTGAAAGAAGAAAAATCATTGAACCAGCTTTGAAAACGATTCCCGTAATGAGTAATGCAATTTCTTTACCGACTCAGCATAGCAAAGGGAGAACCAAGTTCCTTTGTCATTCGACTTCTGTATGTTCCCTTTCCTTTATTATCGAACAGACCCTCTGGACCGAAGTCGATCTCGAATGGTAGGAAAATCAAATTATAGTCTACTCAAAGATCTTGCTCGTCCTTATTCGAGCGTCTGATCCATGCTTGACTGTAGCTCCTGCAAGCAACCTTTCATAAGATCCAATAAATGTTGTTAAAAAAAGTACATTCAGCAACAAAAAAATTGAATAAACGAAAAATCCTCCAATTCCTCTACGTGAGTCTTTTTCATAAATGAAATCTCTCAAGTGGAATCTTACTGATTAAAACTAAACACAGATTACTTACATAGGTCTCTTATCTAATTTACTTTCTTCCTTCACGCTTCTCTCTTACTTTTATTCTCCCCTCCCGTACATCCCCTTCCGTGACTTTAATCCCGCGCGCGCACCCTGTACTGCCTTTCAGAATTCTCATCACATAGAAACTCAGGTCAAAGACCTCGTCTATATCCTACGTTGAGAAAACTGTCGAAGGTATTCAAATGCAAGGTAGATAAAGTTTGATACTAAGACTGGCTCCGATTGTATCCAAGAATACGGCGTTGTCAATATTACGGATGCAACGTGCAACAATGTCTCTAAGTGCACTTAAAATCAGACGCACTTACGTATAAGACACTGTATACAGATCTTTAGGTTTTCGATTGTGATTAGAACTAAGTCGTAACACAGGTGGTACTGTATACTATACCTCGAGCCACATACTAGACAGAGGAAATATCCTTAAAGCGGTGCAGTAATATCAGCCTGAAGTATTCAGGATGCCGTTAACGGTGGCGCGTAAGCTACTCCGCACTAACCTACAAAATGGGTTAACCTCGTGTACGGGGTAGCCGAATTGACGACACGGCTAATTTTCCTACGTTCTAACTATCTAGTGCCCTGTAAAGGATAATCACGGGGCTTAGTGTTATGAGACGACAATTTCAGATAAGAGAAATAATATCGAGGCGAGGGTCGTTGGAATGTTGCCGTACGCTTTAGTTCCGCCGAATGCCGCTAGATGGGGGCGACGCTCGGGTTCTCTGATTCCGACAATGCCATTTGCTGGTTTCTAAGCCAACGGGCGGCGGTTTGAACCGGAGTACTCTGGCAGATGAGCCAGAGGAGGATGACAGTTGGCTTTTCCAAGGAATCTGCAAATGGGAAACGCAGGAAATAGGATATAACAACCTTCTCCTACTCCTTCCTTCGTACCTGATACGGATGCTATCTCTTAGACTTCCTTTCTCTTTCTCTCTCTCTCTATCCCGTACTTACTCGCTTGCTTTAACCTGCAATGTTTTTCCTTTTCTAGGTTGCACCCACTTTAAACCATTCTCCGGAACTAAACCGCCAGCCTTGCCTTATCCACTCGTTCGGCACTCGGAGAAACCACTGCGCGATTATGCGGCGTCTCATTTCGCTGTGCTTGTATCAAGCCGACCTAACCTAGCTCAAGCTAACCTAACCTAACCTAACATAATCTAACATAAACTCTATGAAATAAACTCCTATAACTTGAGTGCATATCTGCTGACGTTATTCCACAATTTTCTGAAACGGAGAGAACGTTTTTTATCAAGTATATTTCATTGCGCTGAATCCTGATTCAAATGACTCGCAGGCAATAATTTTTGTATGAATGCGCCTCGTATGTTTTTTCGAATATTGTGTGTAGGTAGAAAAAGAATTTATTTTAATAACGTTCCAGTACTGTGCATGGATACCAGCTAATTGAATATATGCTATGTTACGGATTGTTGTTTATACTTCCGCATTAGCCTTATGCGAAATTGTAACGTTAATTTCGTTCTATTTATACCATTTTTGTTTTAATACATGAATTAATATGACAGTATCAGAAGTTCTATGGATGAAGGTATTTTTAAAATTCACCGAAATTTTATGCATAATCTCTGATTTTTATTAGATATTCCAAAAGTATGTAATATTGACGGAGATAATTTTTTCCATAAAGATATAATTTCCAAATTTTCAATATAAATAGCACTCAACATAATTACTACATGTATATCGTAATAATTAATTATTCCAACACACTTTACAAAAATAGTAACGAAACAAGACTGGCTTACGGGTAGATATAAATTTCACACAGAGACAACTATTATCGTAACTGTTACCATAAAGCGTGGATTTTCTTTACTCAGGACTTGCTATACTCGCCCAAAACGACCTGAGACCGTAGGATAAGTAAGCGTCAAAAATAATTGCACGTCTCTTTCGGCAATTGCACGCCATTATCGTTCCGGCCGAATACCGTAAATGGACCGGAACACTTCTCTCGTCTTTAATTAGTCCGTACCACGAGTGAAATGAGAGTGTAAGAGAAGGAAAAATTAGCAAGGAAAAAAAATTTAGCAGAGAATTTTGGTAATTGACTGGGAATCGCTGGGTTATTTTCGTGAAAGTTGGTATTAGCGAGAAAGATACGAACGCTGTGCCACCTAGCGGTGGCGTCCTACAACTAACAGTTGCTTGAGTCAACTAATATAGAACCGTATAATTAATCAACCATGTATACAATTTTGCAGACGCTGACTCGACAAAGGCCACGAGAGAGGTCACAAATTTATCCAGAGTCACGAAGTTTTCCAGTAAGTGCCATTTCCATGGTTCCCAAAACCTCATCTTCGTCTACGGATGCTGGATTGAACGAAGAGGAATCCTTTTTTGAGAGACCACCGCCGCCGCCACCACCACCTACACCACCTAGTCAATCGTCGGTACAGCAAGACACTGCTGCTTCCGGTACCACTGTCAAGGACGAAGAGGTCACTGATACCGTGAGTGATCTTCTCGACGCCCCGGTCTCTAGTGATCGGGAAACATCTGAAGAGTTGGTCAGGTAATATCATTAAAGATGATTTTAAAAAAATGGCGACTGATAACTGTCAGTGCTGCCACCTTGTAGCGTTAACTGTATTGTTTGAGTATCTTTTTGAAGTCTTGTTGAAGTCCCACATTACACCGTAAAGACGTTAAGTATGGACGTTTAGATCGTATCCCTTATCAGAACGAACCTTTTATCTTTGTACAACAGATTCACAACGCCGAAGGACGATAGGACGTCAATAGAACAGCAAATCAGACGACCTCGTGCGATCTCTAGGGACCACTATACTTCAAGGTAAAATGCTCTTTTGCGACTAAAAAGGAAAAGACGCCTAAGGACGCTTCCTTATGCTTCCCGACGCTTCGCTTCTTCAGCATCCATTCGTCTCCCACTAACGCAGCACTCTGTCCTGAAGTCCTCAAAGAAATACATTACCAGGATCGAAATCACCTTGACTTGGACAAGGATCCTCAGGAAGCTTTTACTCGTCAGTGAGCATCACTTTCCGTTTCATTTGAAAATCACTTTATATGAGAAAATATATTGATTATAGAAAATGAAAAGAAGGGAAAAAAGAGTATATCAATTGGTGGAAACAGATGCTCACAGATTTTCCACTGACTGACTTCAATAAGAAGTTCAGACAGCCATCGCTTCTCTTATTTCCTATTCCTGCTGAAATTCAATCACAATCATTCGCTATGGGGTCCTTGATTATTTCACCCGAGAAAAACCCTTAATAAAGACCGGGTTACAGAACGTCAAGTTGGCGCAGGTCACGGGACGTCCTGGGTCCTGAAGATGAGGTCACAGGTGGTCTGCAGTACGACGAGCCAGTCAACCTCAGGAGGGATATAAACGGCGCCACCAGGATATCACCAAGTACCATCGACAGGGTCTTTGACAACAGCAATAGACGTCAATACGGCATGGGAATCGTTGGCAGATTTTTCGGGTAGGTTTATTAGGGGTAGTTTTAGGCCCTCTCGTATCGGCTGGGATATCTTATAGCGGGTTGTGAAATTATCAAGTAAATTTAAGAGGGGCGCCTTCTGGTTCGCGCTTAGGGGTTAATCCCGTAGTACCTTGAGTAATTTTTGCGGACGGGCACCTTATCGGGTCGGGTTTTATCCCTTCGTTACTGTATCGACGTCCACGGTAAAAGTTAAAGCTGCTATAGGGAAGTATTGAAGTACACCGAAGTGTGTACTTAGCGTTACCTTAAGAGCGACGAGCCGTCGCAAATTATCTATCGCGACTTTGCTCCTCGAGATATCTTGCTAAATTAAAGTCACGATGAATATACGCCATTAGAAAACAATTATATGCACATAGATACTTGTTCTTTTTTTTTTATACCTTCCACATATATCTTTCCTTTGAGATTTTTTCTTAATCTGTAGACTGTCTATAATATAGCGGTATGGAACTGTAGAATTAGCTAATTCATATATGAGTTAATTCATATATTTATTACTCTAATTTTTACAGGACACAGTAAACTGTTTGACTTATAATATCTTTTTATTTTCACAGGAGATCGTTCCGGAAGAGCGTGGCACATAAACCGGATGTAAAGAAGCAACTTGACGACATCGAAGATCATCGACCTTACTTCACTTATTGGATCACGACCGTTCAGGTCCTCATACTAATAATATCACTCGCTTGTTATGGATTTGGTCCAGTTGGGATTAATCTAAACCACAGATCAGGATTGGTAAGCAGCAGAATTTTGACTATCGTCGATTACGTTTTGTATGTACAATCGATACAGGATTTACAGGTAGATTGGTGGAATTCGCAGCGGACGTCATTTACATCAATTACAACGTAATCGAATATCCGGGCGCGTTCATATATTTAGATTCAACCGAAGGAGGAACGAGCGACCGAATCGTTATATAAATGATCATGAAAATTTCCCGTTATTCCCTATAATAATTATTCATAACCTCACCTATTTACTTACTTTTCTTCTCTTTAAGCCACCCATGTACAATTATACGGTCATGTTTATTCCTCGTTGATTTGCATTTTATCGAATCGTCATTGTGAATGAGATTCCTTGATTGCCAGTTGAAATATTATTATACGGTATTAAATTGTAATGCTCCTTTTTCTTCTTTTCATATTTAATTCATACTTTCTTCTTCTCCAGGTACTCGTGACCAGTCTTTCGTTGCAACAGGTCGACTATCAGGAACCTGCAAACTTCTGGATCGGTCCCAGGGCGGCGGATCTCATTCATCTTGGTGCGAAATTTGCGCCGTGCATGAGACGCGATATTAAAATTCTCAAGGAAATTGATGTTTGGCGGGAACGAGAGCGCGACACTGCCTGTTGCATCAGGAACGATGACTCTGGATGCGTTCAATCTAGCAAGGCGGATTGTTCTGTGAGTTAATGATGGATTTGATTTATAGAAATTAGTGTGATTGCTTATAGACAGAGTTCAGATTGATAATATTATCTTTACCTCTTTTCAAACAAACTGGTCCGGGGATTGAGATCAACCGTCACGGTAATATATATATTAGAATAAGAGTGAATAATCGAAAATTGGAATTTCGTAATTTATATTTAAAACAAATATGAATTTTAGCGCCATTCTATTTAGCTGAAAAGAAATGCTAACATTTTTTCGTATGGCTATAAAATTAAAATTTCAATTCTTGGAAAATGAAAGATTCAATTTTAGCACGTGTATGGTTAATTGGATTTTAGATGAAGTTTTTATTTTATACATTTAGGAACTTATAGCACCGACGTCATCGCAATTATAAAAGCAATGCACTGTACAGTTGTCTCTTCAGCTGTTTAATTACTCAATACAAATAGTGAAGATCGTTTTTCAGAATGAAAACTTATTGGAAAAAGAAATCTAATATAAAACTATAATCGATTTTCTCAGAATACAATATCAACCTGGAAGAAATGGGGACCTGGAGATAATGGACCAGGAGGACGTATAAGCGGTTCAGTTTGTGGATTGGATCCAAAATTTTGCGACGCTCCAGCAAGCATAGCGCCATATGAATGGCCAGATGACATAACAAAATGGCCGATCTGTCGAAAAACAAATCCCTTCAGTCAGCGTTTTAGGTAGATAAAAAAGAAATGATTAATCAAGTGAAATGTAATAACTGTCATAATCGTGATCATCCTGTCTCCATTAGTAGCAAGGACGGCGTCCAGCAGGGGAACAATAATTTTCCAGTAGGCCGTTACAAGGATAAAATGGCGGAGCATATGGTCTGTGAAGTCATTGGTCATCCATGCTGCATCGGTATCCATGGAATGTGTCGGATCACCACCAAAGAATATTGTGATTTCGTTCACGGTTACTTCCACGAGGAAGCTTCCTTGTGCTCACAAGTCGAGTGCCTCCACGATGTCTGCGGCATGATACCCTTCCTTCATCCAGAATGGCCGGATCAGTTTTATAGGCTCTTTACCACCATGTTCCTCCATGCCGGGTAAGCGCCAGATATCCAGATTCACTATAGTTTACTATAGTGCCACACTATAAAGTAGAAAGGATAATACAGAACGTCATGGATAAAGAGTTGTGTACTGAAACTAAGGCCATCCTCCTTTCAGGATCCTTCATCTAGCCATTACCCTGCTGGTCCAGTACTTCCTTATGAGGGACTTGGAGAAGCTCACCGGATCTTTGCGAATTGCATTGATCTACTTCGTGGGTGCACTGGCCGGAAATCTTGCCAGCGCCATATTCGTACCGTACAGAGCAGAGGTAAAAAGATGTCACTACTATAACAAGACTTAGATGCAAATAGCAAGATAAAGAAAAGCGAGAAATATGGTAAACCTAAATAATACTTGTCACAGAGTGTTTTCATAAAAATTAATTCCTCAAAAACTCAATGAACACTTGAGAATCAGATAATTATACTTCAGCATACTGCACAATTAGGAACTGAGGTCAGGAACATTAAACAGGACTAATACTCATGAATTTATTATCCGATTGAAACTCCAATTACATTCCATCTCGCACTTCCTGCATTATCCAGTAAATGACGTAATCTAAACAGAACTCACTTCCCGGCTGAAGTTCGAAAGTTTTAATTGTATTAACTATCTCTTTCCTCTTCGTGGGATTCCTTCGTCCTATTGAATATTACCTGGAGCCAAATCGTCACACTAAATGAAGAACAAGTACACATGGCTGCTAAATAATACAGCTGCAACAACTACACTACACATCCTGTACCTCGTCGTCCTGAAACCTTCTGATCAAGCCCGAACACCCTCTACGGAGCAGTTTACCCTCGTTCTATTTTATCGTCGATGCTTTTCTCTTAACGTCCCTGTAAACTTGATGTTACAAGTCGATTCACTCTCTTCTCCTTGTATTCTTTACATCCATGAACCATAATATTTGCGCCATATTCCCTTTAGGTTAAACAGAGCATTAAAGCGCCAGAATGAGATTCTCCCAATCAAATTGGACGCGGACGATGAAGTGGAATCGCATTTTCTCCGCTAATAAAATTCCCAAATTATTTGACTACATTTTACAATGGAATTGGTCAATACAGTTGTAAGGACCCTCTCTTACTACACATTCATCTGAGACTACTGGCACTGTAAAAGTAACTGTTGTGAACTACCCTTAATGAACTGTCTACCAATATCATAGAGTTCAGAGTAAAAATTTTTAATCTTTATGGTATCTATGGTACCGATAAAACTTTTAGCGAAAATATAGTAAGTCTAAAAATACGTAGATTCACTATTTCCTAGAACAAGATATCTTTGACATAAATCCAGATATGGCCTATCTCATAACAAGTGAAAAAACACGCAATCTATTATAATAAAATGAACATAGGAAATGTCGTGCACGTAGATCCCGATAGATAGCGTCATGTACACCGTGCCAGGGGTTCCCTTTTGCTGATACACATGGCACAGCAGTAAGCATTGGAAACGCGTGATCTCGAAGCATTACAACACCCTAGAGAGTTCTAAACAGAATCCAATACATTACACTGTACTAGAGAGTAGAGATTGCTGGATAAACCAATGAATCAGTCTAAGCATCGTTGCACTGAGAATAGATTCTCTCTGCGTCCTAGATGATCTATCTCGCTTTACATAGAAATGAATCTAGGACATTCCGTAATGAAATAAATAAACTAGCAAAGCCATAATGATGATAAATATATATATATATATATATAACATAGGCAGGGTGATTAAATCTCTAATTACTTTTTCAGGTGGGACCTGCAGGAGCGCATTTTGCACTGTTGGCAACACTGGTTGTCGAGGTGCTGCACTGTTGGCTAAACTAGCAAAGCCATAATGATGATAAATAGATTCTCTCTGCGTCCTAGATGATCTATCTCGCTTTACATAGAAATGAATCTAGGACATTCCGTAATGAAATAAATAAACTAGCAAAGCCATAATGATGATAAATATATATATATATATATATATAACATAGGCAGGGTGATTAAATCTCTAATTACTTTTTCAGGTGGGACCTGCAGGAGCGCATTTTGCACTGTTGGCAACACTGGTTGTCGAGGTGCTGCACTGTTGGCCAATGCTGAAGCATCCTCGTCGTGCCCTGATGAAGCTAATAATGATCTTGCTGGGTCTTCTGATCCTGGGTGTCCTACCATGGATAGATAACTACGCCCATCTATTTGGCTTCATCTTCGGCTTCCTGGCCGCTTACGCCCTAATGCCTTTTATCTCTTTCGGCCATTACGACCGTCGTCGCAAGATCCTCCTGATCTGGGTCTGCATGATCCTCATAGTTGGCTTGTTTGCCCTCCTCCTCACGCTGTTTTACAACGTGCCCGTCTACGAGTGCGAGGTCTGCAAACTCTTCAACTGCGTCCCCTTCACCAGGGACTTCTGCGCCTCCCAGAACATCAACTTCAAACGCGAGGAACCTGTATGACACACGGGGCCGCGGTTCCAAGTCGAGCGCCAAGTACCGTTCGGCCCCCTCTCGCCCGCTCGTCAACCTAACCACGATAATCAACCATCTCTAGACTTTGACCATCTTCTTGGAGTTGTGGATACCGCCAGGAATCTTATTTGGCCTGTGGGACTCCTCTGTATAAGTTACTGCACCAGACATTGCAATTGGATCTGTCATCTATCCTAGAGAAAGGATTTGTTTTGATATCAAACAAGAACCGGATGCTCTGCTTCGAGGACTCAGGCTTAACCGCATCCTGGGTTTTTTGGATCACATTAGTCTGAATGGATGTCTATAGCAATCTGTGCGTGTACAAGAGATGAATAAAGATCACGCCCTAACAAAGCTTGTCGCATACTGCCAATCGAAAAAACATTAAACCGCGTCGTTGGACGTTGAATAAGAATGCCTTAAAATTAACCGATCGCTCTACCGGTTACATTATGACGGATCGCCGTGAATCCTCCAGGTACGTGGTGAATCGTCACGCTCGGGGAATTGTAAATATTAGATATATACTGATTATGCGAATCGAAGCGACGATCACAACTGTCGATTCGGCGATCGTGCATTCTCTGGAGACTCTTCTTATCGCGACGTGAATACGAGGAAGAACGAGACGGACTTCTTGTTGATGAGACTGTGCAAGAAGATGACGCTTATGTTAAAGGAGACAAAGAGGAGAAGCAAAGATATTAAATACGAAAGACATTAAAATGTACATAGCTGATGCCTGTCACGCCTATGACAGAGAATTAACGTGTAGGCGATAGAGGGACTTTCAAAGGTGCACGCGTCACGCGAAAGTGTTTGCGATTAAATAAAATATTGTCACTTGTGATTTAGGAGTTAGTTTCTCTCTTTTTTTTTTTTAAATCGTTCCGTCACGACGAACACGAAGAGTCCTCAATGGGACGTTGATGCCGAAGACTTGTGAGCTTACACTTAAACGGACTACCAAGAACACGAGAGAGACTTAAAAAAAATGTTTAAATCGCGTGTGCCCTAACGAAATGATTTTAAAGTAAAAGAAGGTGAAGACGATGACGCGGACTATATTTAAAGAAAATTAACTGTGCGTCAGTAGACGAGGAGTGATTTCAAATCAATTTTTATATGTGGGATAAAAGAAAGTCGAGATATCAGAACTCTTAATTAATTAATTGGAATTGTACATAGAAGAAAACGTAAATGTGGATGACGATGATGATAATGAAAATACTCATGATATTCGCATAGACGCGTGAACGACAGGTGGAAAACGTGTTGATCGAATAACACGTTTAATTCACCAATGCGCGTAAAATACGTTGTACACTTACGGTCCGTTCATTAAACATGGGACTTAATTATCGTACCATTGTGAATGTGTATTTTATTATAAACGAGCATGTAAATGTACGCGCGAAAATGACGGCGCGTCGTCAGAGAGAGGAGAACGTAGTCCGTGCCCGGAACGCCAGCGATTGTCAGTTATCGATGAAATTACCGCTAAAGCATTTAATTATAATTAAACGACGATTACCGATTGTCGGTGAATTATATTGACAGGGAGAATCGGATTGAAAATGTGCCACGATGGAAATCACGAAGAGAAAACCCATAACGTTTATATTATACTGGGTGTATATTGTAAATTATGGCGAGGCTCGTCGACGACAGTGGCGCGATCTTGCGGCAAAAAAAATTATTCAATTTAAACTTTCAAATTCAATTAATTTTAATTCAAGCAACTAGCTGTAGTCTCTCTAGATATGAATATCATGAAAATCAACAAAACATCATTACTGTCCGATTCAAATTGGACTTAGCGGTTTTTCCTAGATTCAAATCAACAAACAAACAATCATAATCAAGATGGCAGATAGAATTTCTCTTATCGCAAGGTCCGGGCGGTTGTCGATCAGCAGGAATTCTCTTATAAGACTAAGTAGAAGCGTAAGGATAAACATTATTAATTAAACGACGTAATACGGATACAATTAACGAGACATTGCGCGCTGCCCTTTTATAAATCCTCCAACGTGCATAAGCTCTTTCGCGTCGCCCACTTCTCCACCCCAAAAAACAAATTCCATCCAATTCATAAAGAAAAAACATTCAAAATACAAAAGTTTGCCAAAAAAAGTCGTACCAACCTATTAATATTCACAACTCGTAATCTCATAAATTAAATGCTAGTCATCAGTCTAACTTTTCTTCTTGTTCATCTTTTTTTTATTTTATCAGACATGTCTGACTGGTTTGCGCGCGAAAGAGTTGCCATTTGAATTTCTCACGCTGACACTGGCTCCACGAATGACACATTCCTCGGCTGCACTCAATAATGGAATATAGAGAATCGAAGTGAAGAAGATTTTAAACCGTGAACAATGTAAATCCTCGACAACACGAAAACACTCCTCGCACACTCAGATAATTCATAGTAATAATCACATGTGAATATTGGACACGTCCCCACTGTATAACAGAGTACACTGAATATGAATACGTGCAAGAGTAAGAAGGACCGCGTGTGTTGCGTGCATATAGTATATGTATACCTGTATACAAATTGTGTATACACGTACGCACGAGAGAGAAACAGAGAGAGAGAGAGAGAGAGAGAGAGAGAGAGAGAGAGAGAGACAGGAACATACAAACGCATACAACTACACGACCGTATACTAAACTTAACAATATTACGTAATAGTACCTACGTATGCAGATACATACTATCGTAACGATTATTATGATTATTATGATTAATTGATATTACTTACAGAGTAATCACACCTTCGTAATTAAACCGATTAAAGAGGAAAAAAAAGGGAAACGAAAAGACATAAGACGTGCTACCATATATAACGTTATATATTATATATGATGCATTCGAAAACTTTGTGATAACCGATTACACACATTTTTTCGGGTTACGACGTGAGGCGAACGTGGCAATTGTCGGCAAGTAACGTATTGTTATTATTGTAAATGTGTCATATACATAGCATGCATAAAACGAATGAAACAACAAAAAATAAATAAATTGACAAACCTTCGATATTTCCATACCGATCGCGACGAGGTGGAATGTTCTGTTGAATTTTTTGTTCTTATTTTCTTTCTTTTTGAAATTCAGACCTGGGCAAGCGTGACAGGTGACGAGAAAAATAGCGGCATGGAAAGTTAAATGTTTAAAAAAAAGAAAAAAGAGAGTAAAAGATTGTCACGGAACTAAGTATTTGCGTAATGGGAAGTAAGCTGAGATTTCAATTGAAAATTTTGTATTGCGCTACTACGTGAATAATTCTCATGCTGTAATTTATTGTAGGATTTGGATATCTTGTTTACAATCGAATTTCGAGGTGTTAACGAAATAAATGGAACGTCTTATGTAACTTTGTAAAATTGTCACGGCCAATCCGGGTCGTTCAATGCGTGACGGATTATCGACTGATAGTGCAGCGACGACGCGAATACAAAGGATAAACGAAAATGGTGTCTTTACCAGAAGCGAACGGTTTTATATGAAAAATGGATGAAGAAACGCTTTGAGAATAAAGTTAGATAATTTTTTTATAGAGTACATTCGATCTTTAGTTTTTTCTACAACAATATCGTCCTGGATTCTTCATTTCTATTTCATTGACCGTTCGCCGTGACGATTGCATGTGCAGAAATCTCAGTGGTCGCCATACCGTTTATGACTTTAGTATTGCAATCTTTGTGAAGATTCAAAAAAGGAGTTTGTTTGACATTCTACAGTCTCGTTACAAAAGGAATTTTCGAAATTTACACTGTCTTACAAAGTTACCGTTAGTAATTTCGAAAATTTACATGGGAAACTGTCAGCGTGTGCTTGTGATTATTAAAATCGCTCGTTGGAAACGACTGGAGGGAAAAACTCAAAATATGTTATCGCTCTCGATCTGACGTGAAAGCACCTTGTAAATAAACGTATGCGTCGAAAATGGACCAAGGATCAATAGTGACGTTTGTGTGTGTAAAACTGATTCCGATCTCGCTATGATAAGTTAGCTCGAGATTGTAGGATTGTAAGTAAAGGTACAATTAATGCTAATATTATTAAAAGAAAGAATAATAATAATATAAAAAGAGCCACACACGAAGTAGGGTGCGCGCGCAGTCTGTCGAATTTGTTTTTTATTGCGATAAATGCGCAGCGAATCAATTCACTTTTCAAAATTTTATTTTCAGTGTTTTCTTCTTCTCGTCTATCTAGATCATCCCTTCAATCGGAAATTATCGAGAGAGAATGTGTCGGATTCTACGTGTAAATTCGAGTTTTGTGCACGCACCTTTAGATTGTCAGTTTTCAAGTCAGAACGAAAGCGGTGAAGGACGCGACCGATCGCCGTGTTCTGTCGAAACTTTGAAATTCTCGTTCGCTTCGCTTTTATATAATAAAAAGACGCGAGGATGAGCGCATGGACATTCCACCGCGTCCGCGCGGTATTATTTTTCTGTATCCCTGTATCAATACGAAATATAATTAACAATGGACTAAAATTATAATTATACAATTATTACTTCGCCACTTTTGTTTCACTAGTAATCAGTAAAATCTTCGATTATGATTATTATTACTAATCATGATAATATATTGTACTTGTCGCTGTTATTATATATATATATATATAAATATATATATATATCAAACACATAATATATTAATTTAATAACAATAAAGAAAATGTAAAAATTACAAAAAGACGCCTTATTTCTTTATTCGACCAAAGTTACCAAGAAAGTAAAACTCAATCGCTCTCGTAAAAACTCTTTTATGAAACTGTGACACGGAAGGTAATGGAAATATGTCACTTGTTTCTCACCTTTTGTAAAATGCAAATTTCTACTAAATAATGTTGACAGCACGGAGTCAGGAAACTAGTAAATGTAAACATTCTCGAAAGTCATATATATTAATTTTTAAAGGAGTAACATAAATTCCTGGAAAGTGACTTAAAAATGTGCAAAATAAATATCAAACGTTGCCGCGAATAGCGAACGTTTGACAATGAGTAATAGGAAGCTGAAAATTTCATGAATATCACTTCATACGATAAAACCCTTAGAATTTTTAAGGATCCCTATGAAAGGGCCAGGGACATTCTACTCGTAATACAGTCCTATCACAGCACCAACAGCATATAAATCTGTGTTTTCAAATATATAAGTAGAATATGTATCCCTTTCAACATCCCAAAGACGACTTAAGCCCATATTTATGCTTTGACCAGTCTTTTCGATGATCGTCATGGTCACTACATACTTGTACCTAAAATCGCAGTAAAAAGCCGATAAATCTGTCTTATCGACGAATGGTGATTTGGTTTGTTTCTGTGATTACCGATCGTAATCCTTCTTGAAGATACGATTACGAATTTCGATGGACATATCTTGACAGAGTTTCATGCACACCGCAGGATTGTATTTCATTCCCTTTAAAGTCATAGTCATTACGTCTTCTAATATTTTATCAACCACTTCACACTTGAATGGATTGTAGGAAGCAAGGCGATAAGTATTCTGATATCTCGGTACCTATAATCGGTAAAGTAGAAACTTAAAGTACATTTTGGATGCTAATTTCCGAAAGATTCTTTCTTTACTTTGAATCCACCCTTAGTACTTCTATAAACTGCACTGGCTCTGTAACCCAAAAGTAATGACATATTACTCATGGTCCCTCTCGAAGGTCCACTATCAGTTGCTCTCGAAGATTTATTTTGTGCAATAAATGGCGGCATTTCCATTGGCTTTGATAATTTTGACTGACCACTTTGATGTACAGATATCCGAGACACTATAATAATAAGGAATATCATGAAACCATAAGAATATAAGATCAGTTGAATTATGCTAACACTTTGTACGCATATCATATTGCATTACTTACTGAAAGACATGATGAAATGAATAATTCCAGGCGTCTGAATGGAAGAATAAAGACTTCGAAAATGCTATGATATTCAAAAACACATGTGGTTCTTCGATGATCCACGATGAATAAATGATAACGGTAAAACGAGCGTCATCATATCCCTTAGCTTTTAATAATTTCTGATAAAATATTTTCAAAGCTGCAATAGTTTTGTGCACAAATTAAACTGCCGGCTCAAGGAATGAAACAAAAAAGAGATGCATAAGTTGAGGGCGTCTGAATTCACATAACTTTGCTCATGAAGGAAAGACGAATTTTAAGGTAAAAATTACGCATAAATGATGGAATTCATAAGCAGCCGGTGCGTAGAGTGCGCCTCCTGGTGTCATTTGATAGCGACCGGCTCGAGGAAGGAAGAGCTGAGTTCTGCCATTTTCATCGGGTAGTCCGAGTGCGCAGAGGTTTCCAAGATGGCAAAGAAAACGGTGCCGGATAAAACGCCGCAAAACGAAGACGCTGTTAAGAATAACGAAGACACGATGAACGATGATGAGGAGCCAAACTTTAGCGATCCTGAAGGTTTCGTTGACGACATCACCGACGAAGGTATGCACACTTTTGGACGTAGTGACGTCTGGCATATATTCGCTGCTCACAGCATGGTTGCATATGGCCGTATACACGGCGTAAAGCAACCTAACCACAAACAGATTAATAGTATAGTGGATTTATGAACAATGCATGTAGATTAAGAGACTCTTTTCTATTGGATGTTATAGGAAGATGATCCTTTTAAGAGATATTTTAACTCTTGGACTAAATATGAAACAGACTTTCTGCTTATCCTTGTAATATTTGTTGTGAAGTTTTGATCTTAGGAGCAGTGATGAACAGTGTACTCGATTCACTTACTTTTACTTAGTTTTGTATTACTGATAATGTTTCAAATGTTGCGAATGCAATGATTGTGATTATGTTGTTCTCTTTGACAGAACTTCTTGGTGATTTACTCAAGCAAAAGCCTTCTGAGACGGATGGTGTAGAAGCAGTTATTGTGATTGATCGAGTACCTCAGGTTGAACCTGCGCGTCTTGAGAAACTGCAAACTGTTCTCCATAAACTGTTTAGTCCATTCGGTACTATTGTGAATGAATACTATCCCAAGGACGAGAATGGTGTTACTAAAGGGTATGTGTGAATATAAAAGGGACTGATGTTTATAAATTTGGATGATAATGGAACTATTTACAGATATGTCTTTTTGGAGTATAACAATCCTTTAAATGCACTGGCTGCAGTGAAGTCAATGAATAACTACAAGATTGACAAAATGCACACGTTTAAATTGAACCTTTTCACTGACTTCAAGAAGTTTGAAGACATTCCTAAGGATTGGGAGCCACCTAAGCCACAGCCGTACAAAGCTGCTGGTGATTTACATTATTATCTTTTGGATCCTGATGCATACGACCAGTTCTGTGTACTTTGTGGTAACGGGTCAGCAGTTAATGTTCAGATATGGCAAAACTCAGCTCCAGAACCTAATATGATTGAAGAACGTCCTGTGAGTACCCAGTTTTTATTAATGATTCTACAAACTTACATGACTTACAATGATTTTCTTTTCTTGTATAGCGATGGACTGAGACATATGTTAAGTGGTCTCCATTGGGTACTTATCTGGCGACTTTCCACAAGCTTGGTGTTGCACTTTGGGGTGGTCCGCAATTCTCTCAGCAGGCGAGGTTTGGCCAGAGGGGAGTAGAATGCATTGACTTCTCACCCTGCGAACGCTACTTAGTGACGTTCACACCTCGTTCAGATGGCAGTTCTGATCAAAAGCGTCTCGTCATCTGGGATATTCTTACTGGACAAGAGAAACGCTCTTTTTCCACTGATGGATCTTCGGTGTGGCCAATTTTTCGCTGGTCTCATGATGACAAGTACCTAGCCCGTATGACGAATGACGGTCTCAGCGTATACGAGACACCTGTAAGTTCCTACCCTTAAAGCCTTTGAAAAAGCCTTTGAAATACTTATGAACGTTTGTAAATTTGCTTCTCAGTCATTTGGTCTGCTCGATAAGAAACATATTAAGATTCCTGGAATTAGAGACTTCAGCTGGTCTCCAACAGACAATATTCTTGCTTATTGGGTGCCGGAAGATAAAGATGTCCCTGCTAGAGTTACTCTTCTCGAGATTCCCAAGTAAGTTATTACCATTAAACAAAACACTTACTCTAATATCAGTCTTAATTTTGTACTCTTCATTAATTACTACTACAACTTCAGTCGTAACGAGATCCGTAACAAAAACTTATTCAACGTGGCGGATTGCAAGATCTATTGGCAGAAATCTGGCGATTATCTGTGCGTTAAGGTCGATCGTTTCGCCAAGAGAAAAGAGAAGACCGAGCAGAAATATACAGTAAGAATATCCGCCATTATTCACGTATAAAACAGAAACGTTTGGTCAACGTAGTGCATGGTTATATAATTTTTGTTTGCAGGGAATGTCATATAATTTCGAAATCTTCCACATGCGAGAGAAACAAATTCCAGTAGACAGTGTGGAGATTAAGGAACCAATTCACGCATTCGCCTGGGAACCAATAGGCAATAAATTCGCCATTATCCACGGAGAAGTCCCCAGCGTCAATGTGAGCTTCTACGAGGTTCGATTTGGACATCAGCCAGGGCTCTTAAGTAGGTCTATTTCTCGACAAATCACCCATTATTTATATGCCATTATCCCTAATTTACCGTTCACAGAGAAACTGGAAAAGAAGGCATGCAACCACCTGTTCTGGTCGCCATCCGGACAGTTCATCGTCCTTGCAGGATTAACTATCATGGCTGGAGCTCTCGAATTCATCGACACTAATGACTTCACGATCATGAACACGACAGATCATTATCAAACTTCTGATGTCGAATGGGATCCTACTGGACGGTAACTGTTCCTTCTATTAGTACTAATAATTTAACTAAACCATCTACATGACTTGGTACCAAAATCTGCAACCGTTATTCCAGTTACGTAGTAACAGCTGTATCCAGCTGGAAGACCAGTGTAGACAATGGATACTGGATCTGGACGTTCCAAGGTCGTATATTAAAGCGAGTAAATCTGAACGCTTTCAATCAACTTCTCTGGCGACCCAGACCACCCAGTCTATTGTCTGCCGAACAAATAAAGGAGATCAAGAAGAACTTGAAGAAGTACTCGGCCCAATTTGAAAGCAAAGATCGCATGCGCCTCACTCGGGCTTCCAAGGAACTAATTGAGAAGCGTTGCGCCCTTATGAAGGCATTCGAGGAATATCGTTCGAAGCGTATTGAGGAGTGGAACAGTCAGAAGAAGCGTCGTCTGGAGTTGCGTTGCAGTAATAATTTCAATATTGATTTATACATATATTAGTAGTCAATAAGATTTTGAATTTAACGATACCAGACTTTATTTTTCTTCATTCTGTTTTAGATATCGACACCGACGAGTTGGACTCTGATACGAAGAACGTGGAGGAAGAGGTTGTAGAATTTTTCGTCAAGGAAGAAACATTCATTATCGATTAATTACGTATCGGTGACCATACTTCCTTGCCTGCCGGGATTGGAAACCTTTAGTGCGATACCGGTGGGCTCTGCTCCTTCTGTGTGCATAATGACTGTCCCATACGATCATGGACATCTTCTGCGTTATTTTTGTGTCGTCATCGAGATCATCTCCGTAGTTGCAACGTTTCGTTTGAAACGTGGCGATCGAAGCGCCATCAAATTCTATCATATTCCGTACAGAATACATCAACAGAATAATCACTCCGACAATATTGTCGCGCAGAATTTCTTTTTTTATTTATCAGACCTCTTTCAGAATAAAATACCATCCACTCGAGAATCACGATCTATCGTCTATAATAATCCTTTGACCTTTAGTCCAATTCCTTTTTTGTTAAATATAAAATTAAACTTGTTTAACAGAATTAATCATTTATTTTGAAAGATAACAGGATAAAGCATCACGTACAAAAAAAAAGTATAGAGGAAGATTTGTGGTAACTTCTAATTCCTTGTCCTTGCTTTTGATAATTATTGATTCATCGGAAATACAAATTTTTGTCGCGGATCAACACGGAAGCGAAAACGAAATGTCTGTTTGATGTTAAAAATTTTCATAATTATGTAATGTTCAGCAGCTTTATCTATCCTAAATTAATGTTCTCGCGTTTTTGACTGCGTAAAACTGTGAAGTTACGGTAGAAGACAGTCAGTGAATTTCAAAAGTAATAGCGAAAGAAGATAACCGCCGCGCATACCCAGGCTGGTGGAATCCTATCCTTCTGGGTAAAGGACTTCCTGGTAACTGGTGTGGCGCACGAGAACAAACGCTCGTGCTCTTTCTCCAGGGCGTCTTGCAATTTTTCATTCTTCGTTACCACCGCTACTTGTGTTTCGAGATCTCGTCTTACTGATCTATACCCTGCAAAATTAAGCCATTTTCATTTGTACTGTTATATTGAGGATTTTATCAATTTCATGTATACGTAAACAAATACGATTCCTTGTCACAGAAATACTTACCAAAATTAGGAGAGCCAATAAGTGTCATACAAGGTTTTTGTTGACCAGGTAAAGAATACCAAAGACCTTTTGCATGATACGTCCAACCTGGACGTATAAACTCCCATAGAGTAATTCTGTCATCCTGACCCTTTTTTTCACAATCTGCATAAAATGATTCCTCTATTTTCGTATAGGCCGCTGGTATACCCCTTGCTATACCTTTTGCACCTGTCAGATAATTTTTGGAACTTTATTAATTTATTAATTGACATTGTCTAATTAGTACTTACCAAAGAAACCATTAGCTGTGGGATGAGCTGTAAGTAAGTGACAAGCCGCCTCAGTGTAATTCAGTATTGCATTTCTATAGTCGTATGTTAGATTGAAGTACCCAGTGGCTAATCTTAGGGTTGCTCCCAATGGAGCTGTTTCCAGGATGCGAAGAGTCACATCACTGTCGTGGTGAATATTAAGCTGTCCCATTTGAACTAATGGGAAGACCCAAGTGTCCGTCTCCGATGCTCCTGCTGCCGATTGTAAATATTAAATAAGTTCAGTGAAATGTTATAAACGATTAAAATAATTTATATTTACTTTACCAAGTTGGTTGAGCTCGGAACGTTTCTCCATCTCATCTTGGAAAAGGGTTTGTATCTTCTCGGAAGCTGCTGCAGTGAAGTCCTTGCTAGGACTCTTATAAGGGTGGGCCTTAATTGTTGAACTATAAGAAGTGGTACCGTCCAGAAGTAAGCGAAAGCTAAATTCTCCAACTCTTTCAACCAGATTTCCATAAAAGTCGCAGAGTTCTTTGCAGTCCTCTATCATGAAGTAACGATCCTGTCGATTGGTGAAATAATCATTGCTCAGATTGGCACTAAAATTTATTAAGTATATTATTGGAATGTGGATTTGATATTTTGAATTTCTACTAGTTCAATGTTTTTCAATGTAATTTTCAATTTAATTTTGAATTTCTACTAGTTCAATGTAATTCATTTAAAACTTACCCACTGATGATGAGAGTGTCATCGAAGAGGTAGAGCTTCATGTGCTGCAGACCGATCAACTCATTGAAACGTTCAGGTATCAGGGCTTTCAGAACCCCACGCAGCTTGGGAGTATGATAGAGAAATACATTGCACTGTGAACTCCATTTACCATTAAGAAGAGGTTCCAACATTTTACGAGAATTAACTCGTCCGCGTGAACCTCTCATGTAATCCAATAAAATGTTCACTTTTACCTCACTGTTATTGGCCATTAAATTGTTTTCTATGGCTGATACCTAATTACACAAAAATCATTGATTATAAATATTTCTTCTTACACAATATCATTTGACAGAAAAACAATTTGATTACTGTATGAAATAATATGCCCTTACCAGTTCAGTTTCTAATTTGCCTGTTCCTAGGTATAATGAGGCCAAGGTTATTCTTTTTCGTGCTGTTTTACATTTTTCTAAAAGAGTAGCATAAAATGCAGCAGGCTCATGTATAATAGTTACCTAGAAAAGGTTGTGTTGGAAATAAACGAATAATTAATATAAATAAAATTACTTCCACAGTGAAAAGAGAATCATTGCTTACTTTTGAACCATCTACAGGAAAACCTGGCGAAGCTTTGTGCAACCAAGATAAACTATTTATTTCAGAATGTGTCATCTCGATAGCTGACAATTTTTCTTCATCCAACATAGCTATTTGAATTTTACACCTTGCGATACAAAGGTTGACACTGTTTGGCCTAAGGTCTACTTGACCTCCAAATGCTACCTTTGATCCATGAATCCTGAAAGTTCATTAAAATTCATTTTATAGTTACAAATGTTAAACAAACATTCATCCAAATGTATAAAGTACATTAATGGGTTCTGTCCATCAAAGAGCAAGATTATTTTAGATAATACTTAAACCACCTAACAAATATTATTTAATAGGCATTATACAGTATATTTTCTATTATTAAAAGTTATATTTGATAGAAAACCACAACTGTATATATAGACGTAATCTACTTGTCAAACAATATAACCCTTTTCTATTACGTGAATTATATGTATATTTAAAGAATCAAATATGAAATGACACGTGTAATATGACATTTAAAAATATTCGAATTACCCCTTTAAACTTCGCAAAATTGTATGGTGCATGAGTAAATATTATAACATTAATAATCTTCTATTAGCAAAAATTAAAACAAGTAACGACAGTACCACTTCTTCGAACAAGGAGAACTGATGAAAATGTACGGAACGTTCTGCGCAAGTCGAAGCGACACTATGACGTTCGTGTTTTTAAAAAAGACAATTTTCTTTACCAAATTTCTAAAAAGTGACAATAAAGTAAAATACTGACTCACAATTAATTTGTTAATTATTTTATAGCAATTTATAAGGCGGTACGGATGATTTATAAACACGAGCATTGCCAAATAATAAGATATGTATACATAAGTAATCTATACGATTTGATTAATTTTTATAATTTCAATACTAAACTTTATTCCTGCGCTTTATTTTTTTATATCCTACAACAAAGTTCTTATTTTAATTTATGTTATTCATATCAAATATAAATGTATATAGGATAATCATTAACTATATTCATATAGCACATGTTGCTAAGCAACTCTACCATACACAATACTATCTACTGGCATGCTGGCAATCGTACATTAAATCTAAGACAATGTATGTTTATTATCTTTTTTAATAATTAAGTATAATTAACGGAATGTTACTAAAGTACCTTGGGTCCTTGTTACCTTCACAGGTGAGTACTGCAATTTATGATTATGACAAACCATTTGATTCTGTCTCTAGTGTAATTCAGCAGCTTCTACCGTATCATTAAACCTTTGTAATTACATTAATTGTTTTAATATTAATTTAGGAAGGCGAAAACAGAGTCGTAGCTATAGTCTGGTCACCAAATAATTTAAAGCTAGCTGTTGCTTCTACAGATCGTTCCATATATCTCTTCGATGAAAAGGGAGTCAAGAAGGACAGATTTTCAACAAAACCAGTAGATGCAAAGGTACAATAAGAAGTTTAATTATACAGACTAAATATCATTGACTTAATACAATTAATTTCAGTTTGGCAAGAAGAGTTATGTCATTAAAGATATTGCTTTTTCACCTGATTCCACAAAGATTGCTGTTGGTCAAACCGACAATATAGTTTACGTATATAAAATAGGCGAAGACTGGTGAGTGTGAAATCCTTTTAAAGCTTTTTATTGTGTGTATAAGACTAAAAACTTAACAAATACATGACCAATTTTCAGGGGAGAAAAAAAGGTTATCTGTAATAAATTTGGACAAAGTTCAGCAGTGACCTGCTTGATATGGCCAGCAGAAGGACCCATCGTAGTGGGTCTTGCTGATGGAAAAGTACGAGCTAGTTTACCAAAGGCCAACAAGGCTCACACTTTATATGCCTCTGATGCCATGACCATTGCTCTTGCCACTAAGTAATTATTTAATATCAAATATAATTAAATATGAGACTAGTATTCAAATTTATCTGACAATTTCATTAATTTTCTCCGCAGCATCCGAGGTACTGGATTCTTATCTAGCCATGCGGATGGCAGTATAATACGCTACTACGTAGCGGACGATAGTAGCGCGGAACCATCCGGACGTGTGGTCACTCATGGAGTTCCAGCTTATGCTCTGGCGTGGCCACAATCTCATATTCTTGCAGCAGGATGCGACAAGAGGCTAACATTTTATGACTCTCGTGGGAAACTGGTGAAAACTTTTGATTACAGTCGCGAGATTGAAGAAAAGGAAATGACGGTAGCCTGTTGTAGTCCTAGCGGACAAAGCGTAGCTGTCGGCTCCTGGGACAGAGTACGCATCCTGGATTGGAGTCCTAGACGCTCCGTCTGGGAAGAATCCAACATGCGCGCATTACCTAATCTATATACAGTTACATCCTTGTCCTGGAGACGAGATGGTTCCAGATTGGTAATTGGTGGACTGTGTGGTGCTGTGGAACAATTTGAAACTGTTATGAAGCGTGCTGTAGTAAGAGGAAGTCATGAGGTAGCATATGTGGGTCCTAGCCAGGTCGTCGTTAAGCCATTAAACAGTAGAAGTCGTCCCGTAGTGATTAGATCACAAACTGGGAGCGAGATAGAGGATGTCCGCGTCCTGGGACGTAAGGATAATCACATAGTAGCTCGCACAGTAACAACTCTTCTGCTGAGTGACATTGAATTAAATCTTCTCAGTGAGATACCCTGGGAGGATAAGGGTGGAAACGAAAAGTTCTTCTTCGAGTATCCTGGTGTCTGTCTAATCTTCTGCGCAGGAGAATTGACGATAGTTGAATACGGTAAGAACGAGGTCCTGGGATCTGTAAGGACAGAAGCTGTGAATCCTCACGTAGTGAGCGTCAGAATAAACGAAAGACATGTGCCAGGAATGGCGGATAATAAAAGACTGGCTTATCTGCTGGACCCACGTACAGTTCGCATAATAGATTTCCTTACCGGAGCCACCATAAGCATCATCGGACACGACGCTAGAGTGGATTGGTTAGAACTGAGTGAGACGGGTCATAGACTTCTGTCGAGAGATAAGAAAGGAAGACTTTGGCTAAGCGACGACCAGGGTGGTCGAACTTTGTTATTGACAGGAACCAGTTTTGCATCTTGGGTACCGGGAAGTGATGTAGCTGTGGCACAGACAGGACAGACTCTTGCAGTCTGGTATAACGTTGATGCTCCAGAAGCAGCTACTCTGATTTCCATTCGCGGAGACGCTGTAGATATACTCCGTGAAAATGGACAGACTTCTGTTATGATTGATGAACCAGGGGGTCGTGTGGCGTACCTCCTAGACGAAGGACTGATAGAATTCGGAACTGCTTTGCATGATAACGACTTCGGTAGGGTCGTACTGTTTTTAGAGGAGCTCGGTGATAGACCCCAGGCTGAAGCCATGTGGGAGAATGTGGCTAGAAATGCCATGGCTGCCAGACAACTCCTAATTGCTGCCCGATGTTATGCTGCATTGGGCGATATAGCATGTTCCAAGTTTCTGAGGGACATCGTCGAGACTGGAGAACAATATGCCAAGGAAACTGGTAGCGAAACTCTTGCGAATCCAGATTGCTGGGCCAAAATGGCAATACTCAATGGAGAATTAAAGACAGCTGAGGCTATATATCTGGAGCAAAATGAACTTGATAAAGCACTGGACATGTATCAGAAATACTGGCACTGGGAAGACGCTTTGGCTCTAGCACAAAATCGAGGATGGGTTGGATTAGATGAACTAAAAGACAAGCATCTCTCTTGGCTTCTTGAAAGTGGACAAGCTGCGAGGGCTGCTGCCATAATAGAACCAGACAATCCTAGACGAGCTGTTAAACTTTACCTGGAGGCTCGGCGTCCGGGTCGCGCTGCTCGCTTGGTCCTGGCAAATAACGAACTGCTGGAAGATGACTCATTAGTCAGCGATGTTATAGGAATACTTAAAGCTGCAGATCTTATGGAGCTGGCTGGAGAACTTTTGGAAAAGACTTCCGACGCTACTGGAGCTATAAAGTGTTACGCGCAGGCAGGAATCTTCGCCCGAGCTCTGGAACTGGCTAGGAAAGTAGAACCAAACTCGGTAGTAAGTCTTGAAAAGGAATGGGGACATCATTTAGCAGCAACTGGACATTACGACGCTGCGATTAATCATTTCATCGAATCTGGTGAAACAGCCTTGGCTCTGAATGCTGCGATAAATGCACAGCAATGGCGGAAAGCTTTACAGATAGTACAGGTGGGTTGACTTAACAAACATGACCTCCACTGTAATTGCCATCGATATACAACTAACTATTCTTTATCCTAATCATAGGTGATTGAGAACGATGATCCAGAGATACAGAAGCAATGCGCCAAATTGGCAGAGTACTTTGCATCTGTAGGAGACAAGGACATGGCCGAAAAGTTATTCCTACGAGCAGGCAAAGCACAACGTGCTATCGAGGTCCACATACAGTCTGGCAACTGGTCCAGAGCACATGCTGTCGCCGTGGAACACATGAACCCGGATGAGGCAAACGAAGTCCTAGCTAAACATGCAGAGACCCTTCAGCAAGCTGGTGATCTACGCCAAGCAGAAGCTCTCTTCGTCGCTATTGAGCAATACGATTCAGCTATAGCAATGTACAGAAAAGCTGGTCATCGTAATGATATGATCAGGCTCGTCGCAAAGTACAGGCCTGACTTGCTTCAGGCAACTCACGCTCATTTAGCCAGAGAACTTGAAGCTGCTGGTAAGCCACGCGAGGCTGAAGAGCATTTTCTGGGTGCTGGGGATTGGCGTGGAGCTGTTGCTTCTTACAGATCAAACAACATGTGGGAAGACGCCCTGAGAGTGGCCAAACAATCTTCTGGAGACAAAGCAGCGCAGCAGGTGAGTTTTCTTTTTAAAAAAAAAATCAAAACCAATCAGCATTTTCTTGTGCAGCTGCTTTAAGGATGAGACCTTATTTGAATATTCTTACAGGTTGCTTTAATGTGGGCTCGCACCCTGGCTCCAGAATTAGGAGCTAGATTACTGATACGTTTGAACTATTTAGACTCATGTTTGCAACTTGCTTGCGAAGCCAATTTATTTGATTGGGCCTTGGAGATTGTGAAGTACGGGACCTCTGATCAGAAAAAGGAAGTGCACTATAGGCACGCAATGGCTCTTGAAGATGAGGGTAAATTTTCTGACGCCGAGAGAGAGTTCATTCAGGCGGACAAAGCTGTGGAGGCTGTACAAATGTATATACATACGCGTGAATGGGAATCGGCTGAAGAAGTCGCACAGACACATTGTCAAGATGCGTTGCCCCAGGTCTTGATAGCTAAAGCAGCGGAAGCTGCTGAGTCTCAGGATTACGGACTCGCGGAGTCTCTTTTGCTCAGGGCGCATAAACCAGAAATCATAGTCGAGCACTACAAGGTTATTTCTCCATTTTATATGTTTACCATACCGTCAGGATAATACTAAGAATATTTTGAACACCTTCAGAAAGCGGGTATGTGGTCAGAAGCGATGCGGGTCTGTCGCGAATATTTACCTACTCAGGAGGCAGCACTGCGTCGAGAATTAAGCCAACGAAATTCAGGACTGGACGGTGGAACTCTGGAGGAGGCTCGAAGATGGCTCGAAGTAGGAGAAGTTAGAGCTGCGCTCGACATCCTGATCCTGGATCCACAAGCACCAAGAACGGCGCTTATTCAAGCTGCGGATATTCTACTCCATCAAGCCGATCCTGAAACAGCTATGCAAATAGGTGGCGACTTGGGTGCACGTCTGTTCACCGTTGGGGAGCATGCTCTTGCGGCTCAGGTAGTTCCTAGGTTTTGTTATTCATTAGGAAACTAAGAAAATCGTGAGAAAATATCTTAAACTTTACTCTCCATACTTGACAATTTATATTACTATATACTTCTACCCAGGTATTCCTACAAGCAGACAGACTAAAGGACGCCGTGAACGCCCTTGCAGCCGTTGGTGAATGGGGTAGAGCCAAACGCATAGTGCGAGAACTCGCCCCTGACCTAGAGCCCTACCTGGAGGAAAAGTATAAGGAATCCATGATAAAAGACGGTCATGTAGAGAGATTAGTAGAAGTGGATGCTGGTGCAGCGCTAGATATACTAGCACGCAAGGGGCAATGGAAACAGGTATTCGAGGCAGCCAGTAACCAGAGTCCTGAACTCCTCCACAAGTACATTGCACAACATGCTGCGCAACTTCTGAAATCAGGTACACCTTTGGAAGCACTCCGTCTCTACGTACAGTACGGTGCACCGACAATTACACAAAATTACAATCTGTACTATCGCCTCTCGGAGATGGTGCTCAACTTCAAGGAATCGTGCAACGACTACGGATATCTTAGTCAATTGCGTACAATGCTTCTTAGTTTGACTAAGAGTATACCTTCATCGGAGCATGGTGACAGGTTCGAAAAGCTCCTCCGTGCTACACATTACTCTTGTGTCAAATGCGGATGTAAACCATTTCCTGCTTTGTCTAACCTGGTTATGAAGACCTCGATATCCCTTCTGCGTTACACCGACATCCTCGTGGCTGATCGTTCTTACTACGAAGCTGGACTCGAAGCACGCTCTGCCGGTTTGAATAGCGAAGCTTTTGTCTTCTTGAACCACTTCCTGGACCTGGAAGAATGTATAGAGGAAGGCGACGGTAGTCTCCTCGACGTAGACGACCTCAGAGTCACAGACTTTCCCTTAGAAGTACCACTTCCTACAAATTTGAGCTTATCTGCTGAAGAACGTGAAGAAGTTAGAGAATGGGTATTAACCATTTCCATGGATAGGAGAGTAGAACAAGGTCTACCTGTAGATCAGCGTGGAGTGTACATAGGATCAATAACCAGCTCATTGACTTCCTCCAATCCTTTACCCGAATGTGTCCTAACTGGATATCCCATACGTGGTCCAGTTATTCGATTCGAAGGTAGTAGTGCCCGCGTGGCTGATAGAGACAACTGGAATAAACTAATGAGTGCTGCTCGACACGCTCCCCAGGACTCGGCTTTGAACGACATACTTGTCTTCGTGCAAGAATGGTGCGGAAACGTTCCCAATTATTCCTTCTAAGATGCAATCCTTCTAGCACATGCGTATTACTATATATTAAAATAAAATATCAACCTGACCCGAAACACGGTCTTGTATAGGATATTAAAATCGTCTCCAGGTCGACGAAACAACCTGTCCAGCACGGTTTCTAGTTTTTGTATTTATTAAAATCATTTTGTACCGTGAGAATGTCTGATATATAAGTTAATCAAGCGTGAATAATCGTGTATTCGAGCATGAATATACATATGTGTATTTATGATCGTATAAGTTAATTTTTATGAACTACGTATAACAAGGAAAATCTAGGAAATCATAAAACAATGGCTATCTACCTTTGACGTAGCTGTCTGTCCGTAACGAATATAATATATGTCTATTAACTGACTATGTATAATATTTATATATGTATATATGTGTGTGTATATATATATCTGTATAACAGTTAATAATAATACAAAGAATGTGTTTTACATTAGTTACATCGTCACTACTGTGTAATCCTGAACACCGGTCCAATCCTGAGGAAAAACCTACGCAGGACGGAACGCAGCTCTGGTTTGAGATCGAAACACATCACTTCGCAGAGTAACGGATAGCAGCTGGAGGCGTGAACGGCGAATCTGTTATCGCACATCTTAAGGATCCTGGTTAAAAGAAGAAGAAGTATAGGTGTCCACGCGTCTCGATGAGCTTCGCTGGATAAGGCCAGAAAATATTCCAAAGCTTCACGTGCTACTTCGACAAGGCGTGATTCTACCTTGGACCAGTCATCCCTACGTGCTTCGTCGCTATACATCTTGAAGAGGATGCGCAATGCGCAAGCTAGGGATTGGGTCTCTTGTTTCAGTAGATTTGGCTTCACATTACCCCGAAAGCTTGCCTTCCACAGGACATTTCGCTGCTCGTGGTTGGCATTGAAGCTCTTGGCAAAGCGGTGAGACTTTAGTAGGCACTCCACAAGTTGCAGGAGATGATGGGTGGTCAGGGCGCAGTACATTCCTTGCTCTTCCTTCTGCTGATCGCCACCGCCTCTGACACCAAGCTCCGACGACCTTCCGTTGAGCATGTCCGCCTGTGCCAGGGCTAAATTCTCCTGATCCTCCTTTCTCGAGGTTGCTGGGTAAAACACCACATTGTCTATGGTCTGAATAAGTTCCAATTGAACGGCGCACTTTATTAACAACGCAGAGAACAGTTTGGCTCTTGTATCCTCGCCAGTTAATAGACTCTGCGTGCTATTACTTCGTTTTAGAATTCCTATATGACTCTCAGAATCTCCTGTGATCACCTCCAAGTCAGACTCCTTGTTCGGTGACTGGGGTTTCCACGTGAGTAAAGCCATAGGAAGGGTACTATCAAAGATATCCAGGACGCAGCGACTTGTCTTATCCCATGTTCCCTCATCGAACTTAATACCATTGCTGATTACTAGATTTTCTAAGCAGTTGGTGCCCGACCTGGCCAGCTGCTCATTATCCTGCTGAACGCACCACAGTAACTGGGCGTACAATTGCTCCAGAAGAAGGGGTCCCAATGTATCATAGAATTGGGAGAATACATCGACTATCGCGTACAGCGCATGGTTGCACGTGGTAGTCATCCACTCAGCCTTCTAATGAAAAACAAGGAACACCCTGACATTAATATCAACTTGATCTCTACTTGACTGTCCTGCGTTCTTTGTAACTTACCTCTGTGTGCTGCTCGGGTAATTTCATATTATCGAAAATTCTAAAGAGCACTTGGAATAAATCCTTCCACCAGTGTGGCTTGAAGGACGCTCCGTGTGTTTTCACCACGTCGAACAACACTGTCAACGCCCGGGTTCTCACGTCCAGTTTACATCTGCTCACTACGCATGATAGCTCAAACAGTAGTGGGAACCAACCCCTGACCTGAATATCAAACAAAATATTTTATTGTTTAGGAATATTCTTGCTGGTCTCTAGACTTGAATACAACAATATAGTATCCATAAAAAAATAATCGTTACCCAGGCTCTATCTTCTTCAGAAACCATACCGTTGTCATCCATCATACCTTCAGCGAAGAGCTGAGGATTCGCATCAATATAAGAGGCACAGGAACGTATCAGTCTTATGGCCTCCATACTAGTATCAGGAAATGAAGCATTGCAAGCGAACTCGCTGAGGCACTTGACAGCATCTTGGAAAGAGTCTACCATGATGCTAAAGTCTTCGGCATACAACTCATCTATGGGAAGACATTAATTTAGTATAAAGAAACACATACTCAAAGATTGTCCCTTACTTATTATTTTTCCAGTCATAGAGAAAGCAAGCTCAACAACGGACTCATCCCGATCGCTAGCTGCGTGATGAAAGACACTGAAAATATTTTTCCATCCGGACCGAATATTAGGCGCCTGAGAGTGGACAATCTGCGCTACGCATCTGACCACCATGTCGCGTATAATCGGTGATCTATTCTTTTTCATAATATGTTCAAATGGTCTGAGAAATTCCTTCTGAAATCTGAAATTGGCGAACTCGCCCTTCTCGATGAACTTTGTTGCCAGTTGTCGCAAGGAGTCCACCGCGAAGAAGGATATGTCCTGACGAGGACTGCAACCCACTCGGTCAAAGTGATCACCAAGTACCTGCCAGATTCTTGACCATTGCAACCTGATACGGCCCATATTGTAGTAGGATATCTCGACTATTTTTGTTAGCGAGAACATGCGGGGCTGGGTTGGATGTGCAAGTTCCTCTAGAGAGACTTGACAGAGGGCTTTCACGAATTCAACTATGGCATCGCCATCCAATCTTGTTGAGCCTGTGAAGATTCTATCTACAGCTACGACAACACTTTGCGAACTGGTCTCACCGATGGATTCTTTCACGCTAGCTAAGAACAGAAGAAATAACCAAGAATTGACAAAATTTTAAAGAACGCAATTGATTGACACAGCATACTCATATACTCACGGTCCAGAGAGCTGAGATTGAGACTGTTTGATTGATGGGAATTGTTATGGGTGAGATTAGTAAAGTTGGCTAATGGAGATGGAAAATGTGGCTTCGAAGGAGGTCCCAGAAGCTGTGGTCTAACTCCAGTGCCAATCAGCTGCGCTAGTTCTAGTTGAGAGATACATTTCACGACATCTAGCCAGGAACTTCCGAGATAATTGCCATCGGTGTGAGCGACAGTTATCAGTGTTTTTATTGTGTCAATGTTTTTGGCTTTCATTTCAGTTATCGGTGAGTTTGCTGTCAGAAGTGTGAACCTGGCTAAGGCTTGGACGTAAGCGTCACGCTCCAACTATAGTTCAAGGGGAAATGAGGGTCAGTTTTTTGAGTTTCTTGTCAAAGAAGTAATTATCTAAAATTTAAAACACTTACAGACATATGAAAAATACAAGCGATTCGGATGGCACAACGAATTCCATCCAAGCAGAGAGATGCTATCTCAGGATCATCACAATCCTGTAGGCCGACGCTGAATGCAGCCAAAAATGGAGTCCATGCCATTTTGAACATGGGCCGAACATGTTCCAAATGTTTGGCTGTAGTAAAAGGAGCCTGAACGTGACTGACTGATTCCATTAGATTTTTGGCAGCGGTGGATATCACTTCCATCTCCATATTCCAGAGCAGTCTGCGCTTTTTCTCGCTTGATATTACTGAATAATAATATTCAAATTTTGTTAGAGATTTTTTAAATCCTTACATGGATACTGGCGTTGGTTAGTATCTGGTTATGAATAAAATTATTGTATTAATCCTTGTACCTTGCTTCCCTGGACGATTTGGATTAGATTTCATTTTGATTTCATTGCCTGCAATTTCATCGTAAATTTTTGATAGATACTCTTCAGGTAAATCTTCATTGTCACTGATACGTCGATTTAATTTTATATATTGTTCCTTGGTCATTTTATTCTTGACCTGAGGTGAGTGCAAGTCGGTCGTGAGCATAATTATCGAAAATCCCAAAACATAAGCTGTGTCTGCACTAGTAAATAATCCATTGCTGCAAATTAAAGAGTTGCGATATATGATTTCGTATGTCAATTTCTAAATTTTATGGAGTAAGTTATATTTGAATAGAGTAAAGAACTCACGTAGGATTACACTCGCAATATCGACTGGCGAATTTCTCCATTAACCTATCAATCTTTTGTGCCTCACCAGGCAATCTGAAACCCTCGAGAAAGTACCTGAGTGCCGTAACTAGATCTCTCTCGGCAAAATCCATCTGATCTATATAATTGTACATGACTTGATTGTGATTATGATCACCGAGAAAATCACCTACTGCAGTTTTGTCAAGGCGCTCATCCATGTGAAGCCACCGGGCGACTTCCTCGGCAGAACAACCGAGAAGGCCTTGCTCCTGGAGGTACTGAACGCCCTTACTTGGTTTCCGATTAAATCTAAGAAAGAAGAAATGTATATACAAATATAACGCGCCATAGATCAGTGGATTAATATTGATACAAACTTAATGCAAATTACGCACATGTCAATACCAGCCTCCCAGACTTCCTTCTGCTGCTTTTGAACTTCATACTGTTCTGGTGAGTCAGGAACTTCCTTGTTCCCTACGAGACTAGAATTTGCAGAGGACAAACTACCTGCACTACCATAACGTGGCAATGGCGGTTCTAATGGAGGATCCGGAGGTTCTGAAGGTAATTGTTGATCAGCAGGTACACTGGGATTCACGTATAAATCCCTGCTCCATTCCACCATGCATTTAAGTATCGAGACTAGACACTCCAGTCCTCTAATACGCATTGATTTCTCCTGATTTGGAGATGCGCCTAGTTCAAGCGCCTGTCGACCCTGTGCTATTTTTGATAAGTCGTTAACTAGCCTATGAAGGAAAAGATACGAAAAATGATTCGTTATCACTTGTGATAAAACATATGGATGATATATTATTCGGATTATTACCTTTCAAATAAATTGGCTGCGGAGAGATCACAGTCATAATTTACGTATATATCTACTACACTTTGTGCATCTGCGCAAATTCGCGTCAGCGCATGTATCACCATCCATTTGTGCTCAAAGGAGCTGCTCGAGGTCTCCAGGATGTTCATGAAGATCTCCTTGAAGAATACTTCTATTTGCATCTTCAAATGGACTTTGAAACGGGCAAGCAAAGCGAGAAATAGAGCTAGTGAAAGCTCAAAGACCTCGGGTACAGAGGAAACTCCGTTCTTTGACAATGCTACGCACAGATATTGTTTTATAGCAATGACAAACATCTCGTTTGAACGTAAAATAGGTCCGGCATTTTGTAAAATGCCTAGAAGTAACTGCAATGATAGGATTTTCGATCGTAATTCGTGGGACCTGAGAAATTAATATTAAAATTTATTTCTAAAAGAACTTAGCATAATTAATAATTTAATTATAGATCAGTGAATTGATTTACTTTGGATCCGGTGTACCATCTGGAAGTGGCTTCATAGAAAGTTTGCACAGTGCTCGAAAGACCAAAAATGCATCTTTCTGTAGAACATGAGTGAATTTTGCAGTAACCATGTTATCATTCTCAACAGCTCCTTCATCAGTGTTGTCGTCCGTAGGAACATGGTCCAGACTAACTTCTTCGGAAGGTGGTGCTGTTACAGGTTCTTCTGGTATAACAGAACTGACAACTTCTTCAAGGATGGCCTTGACTGCGTTATGAGCTTCTGAAGAATTATCTGCAGTTGCTTCTTCATTATTTGCAGGTTCACTCTCAGTTTCGCCACCTGAAGTACTAGGCAAATCCTGCTGTTCCGATTCTGTACGTAAAGCTTCCTCCTCCTGCTTAGTAAAACATACACGTATATTCCATCAAGAAATTTGAATGGTCTGCATTTCACAGAAGATTTAATTATTTAAATGTATTTACCGCTTGAGTTTCCATACGAGCAAATATAACATTTATCATTTGTGTAAGAGTAGCTCGTGCTGTCGTTTGATTCACCAGGTTTCTCGAAGCAAGGTAAACATTGTAAACTGTGCGTATCGTCAGCAAAACAGTACCTTCATGTACCTCAACATGCTGACTAGTCATGACAGTTAACAAGGCCTTTATTATTTGTAGCTGAACACCCTCGTCGGTCTGAGGACCCATGAAACAACCACATATTGTTTCCACTATGCGTACTATTAAGAGTTTGCTAGGCTCAGTTGAATCTGGCACATTGCCAGTCAGGTGGCCATAGGCAATAAGCTTTTGTAAACAGTCCAAAGCTGTGACGACGATTCTAGGAGACTTGCTCTGGCAAGCCAAATCAAATGGCAAAAAATACTTCTCTGCTGAGATGACATTAGAATCGCTCTTTGGTTGTGGAAGTGCATTACTAGTTGCCTCTTCACCTTGAGCCGTAGGAACTTCTTTGATTTCATTACGTAAATCATCTGCAGAATAAGTAAAAATATGCGGTAGAATATCTACATATAAAAAAAAGTAAAGAAAAGAGAATAGTGAAAGCTGCTATATACTCAGAACAACAAACATGTATTAAATATTACATAGGTGTTACATAGAAGGCATGATGTAATACACAAAAACTCATATGAAATGTACAAGACGATAAAACTTTATAATAAAAGAAATTAACATACACTACAGTGTGATAACACAGTAAAAACATCTGTGAATGTACCAGTTGATCAAAACTTACCAAGTGCCGCTTCGCAAGACTTCCTAAGCTGGGAGAGATGGGACCGTTTGACATCCCGATCGGCCAGGATTTTTTCAAGAGCTCTCACGATAAACATCTCTCTAGTTTTCGAATTATTTTGCATCGTCACCACACGGAATCCAAATGAATCCAATTGTATCGTAACTTAACACCCCTTCACCAAATTTACATGCGGCGGTATTCCGGATACGTGGTGCACGAGGTTAAAGACGTGAAAGTACATTGACGTAAGCATCTTCAGGGATCTTCTGATATCGAACTTATGCTAAAAGTTTGAATCCTTTACATCACGCTACAGACACAAGCAAATTTTTTTAAAAATACGAGAAGCAAACTTCTGTCTCATACAACCGGGTGAAATCGCGATGAAATTGAGCGAAAGAAACGAGAAATAATGTAAATGTTGGCAGATTGACAGCCACATTGAATTCGGTGATAAGTGGGGATTGACAATGTGGCGAGTATACAACGAAGATTTTACACGCTCACCATCTTGTGAAACGTCTTGACACGTAGTTCAGTTATCTTTATACGTTTGAAAATTATATTATTCAATACTAATTAACACACTCGTACCTAGTAAAAAATACCATATGATTCGGATTAATCAAAACACCTTAACTATTACAGTATCAATAATTTTTTGTACTAAAATTATTGAAATTTAAGTTAACGGACGTCGATGCGAGACGAAATCTATAACTAAAAGTCGCTCACATTTGAACGAGGCATAAATGTTCTTATTTAACGCTTAATTAAGTTTTGCTAAATATTTATAATATAGAAGTAAGTACCTCTATTAGTGTGGAAAACCTGTTTACAAAATAGTAATCTATCATACAAGGATTATTATTAATTAGATTTCTGTTACCTAATGAGTTGCTAGAGCGTGTAGATTGTCGCGGGACTTAGAGACTTGAGTTTATTGCGCACCGATACTGTCAAGTGACCAAAGATTAAAGAAAAGTGTCATCCTGTAATAGTTTATTTCTCTGATTGATACGTATTAGAGAGAAGAATGGAATATCATCCGATAAATCCGGAAATTGATAAGCCTCCTCCGTATTCGGTAGCTACTGCTCCTGCTGCACCTCAAGGTATATTCGAATAAATTTTTATTCTAAAAAGAAAAGTATTGTGTATGACCACATTGTATTTAATGGTATGATAACGTTGATAAGCGTTGTAGCGGAAAATAACATTCTTTATTCTTGTTAAACTTGTACGGAATTATAATACGTTTTAGAGTAATTGTATACTCCTTGAGAAATACTTATGTAACGTTTCTTAGGACCTATTTCATGGCAACCACCTCCTGGGTATTATCCAAGCTCTGGTGTACCGTATCAAGGAACAACTACATATATTGCTCCGTGTGAAATTATTCTTGTGGGTGCATGCCCAGCGTGTCGGGTAAGTTTCTCAGGATACTGTATTAAAGTTATCAGTCTTATAATAGTTTCAAATTATTATATAGGGATGTATTCCTTATAAAATTTTGTATCCTGTTTGTGGAAACTGTTATTCTTATTTTTGCGACATTACAGGTAGGTCGACTTGAAGATGATTACACATGTCTAGGGCTTCTTTGTGCAATACTTTTCTTTCCGGTTGGTATACTCTGCTGCTTGGCGTTAAAAAATCGACGCTGCTCCAATTGTGGAGCTTACTTTGGTTGACCATTGCTGATTATCTACATATTTACTACACTGGTATTTAGTGCTATACATTCATGTTGTTGGATAGTGCAAAGCTCTCAATATAAAATGATCAAGTTCTGTTTAGTCAATCAGTATCTATTCTTTATTCCAAGCATTGACACTATCGAATAGTCACCAATAAATATAGTAAAGTTAATCATGTACTTTGAAACTTGCATAGTGAGAAGATATGACAAGGATGCAGATATGTTTTTATATGTCCCTTTGTGGAATATAGAATAGTGTATAATACTATATGGAAAATTTAGTATAATGTACAAGAAACAATTTTCTTTGTACATTAGAATTCTAACGTTTACTCAAATATTCTCAAACTGATAGTAATCCCAAGGATTTTTTTAGTAATATATCATAGTAACTATATTACATTAATTGATCATGATCCAGTAGTATGATAATCTTGTAATTCTACAGTTTTCTTATGGCCAGTACTTAGTAATCAACTGCCACTATCCTTCACCTAATTGTTTAGAAATAGTGAAAGGAAAGTTTGGTATGAATAGATAATTAGTCATTATTTTGAATTTAATAACGTTGGTTATAATCGTACTTCATATGAAAGGTCAACAAAATCACTGTATGAGTGAATAAGATTTTGGTTTTAACTTTACAACTTTATTCTCATGTCACTATCTGCTTCAAATGACATGGAAAGTTTCAATGTCAGTGCTAATATTTATCAACTCATGTTATCAGAAATAGGCTTGAAGATTTGATAAACGTACCAGCAAATGTAAAATACTAGTTTTACTCTAACAATGAGAAATTGGCACAATGTGGAATCTCTTGGTGCTAAAATTAATGATTGTAATTAATATTCATAATGAATATAAAATTTAAAGTCAACGGTAATACATGTGGAGAAAAATTATTATTTGACTGAATCATACGCTTGAAAATTACAAGCAGACACTAATGTTCCCATTGCAAAAGATATTAAAAAATATTTTCCGCCTTATCACGTTTCCTGTTATTCGAATTGCAATATAATCAAATACTAACAAACCGTTATTTCAAAATAGCGCTTAACGAAGAGGTGCAATCAAACAAAATAAAAGGCCTGTGAGTCATGCTCACTTGACGCTGTGCGTTTAACTGTAGCAGAAAGTGATATAAACGCGTACTGCTTGACATTATATAAATTAAAAATTTTTCCTAATTGATTATAAGTAAATTTAACGGCGGTTCTATGAGGTCTCGTTTGATGTATCATATAATATACGTATAAGATAAGAATTTTCTACGAATACAAATCTATAAATACAGTACTTCTTGTACATTGTTTTCTTATATCGATAAATATAATATATATATTTTACCGTAACAAAGGACTTTCTTATTAACCTTTTTAAAATTAACGACACAGATTCAAATTATCCTCGTTACATGAACGTCCCTATCAATTGGGCTTTTGTTCTCCAATATAATTTTTATTCTGAACATTACGGAACCCCTAGATCACGCGAATACGCACAACATTGACATTCCAGAGGACGATCCACTGTAAGATTATAAAGAATAAAATGCATGTATCATTAAACTCCAATTTTATTTATCTTATTTGAGGAATAATCATATCGAATTTTATTTTCTACGCATGCGCAATCGCCATGCTTACGTCACTAGCAGGAAAACCACAGTAGACATTTCTTACAATTCATTTAACTGGGGAATCCGTTACGACTGCGTCACTTGGACAGTTTAAGGAAATGTGAAAGACTGGAATTTTTCGAAAAAGATAAAAAGAACCGGTCGGACAATTGTGCACGTTATACTCCCGAGCATCTCGAGCCAATTGATTATACGCATGATTGAGTAAATGTTACAAATTATGTCGCCGAGCAAGGACGTGACTGAGTAAAAAAAAAACAAAAATGATTGACAATAGACCTACGGAAATATTAAAGCAGCTGAAGGTTTTCCGCAATGCCATTACATTTTTCTAGATACTCCTGGATCAACTTTGTTGCCATGTTTAATTAACGTCGACAATGCTACAGACAATTAGAAGAAACCTTGCCGTTCGTGCTTTACGACTTTCTAAATAACGTGCAAGTCGTAATGTATGTGTAAGTTAGCAGAGATCACTGAAAGAAAATGGAGTTCCGATATCCCGAAATCTAGGAATGCCTAATAATTAAATGGCGCCGTGAGAACTTCAAATAAAATTCTTGATCAATTATCAAAAACAAGTTGTGTCCCTAGGAATATATTAGCAGGGACTTATACTATTAAAAGTGTAAGTACGATTTCATGCATAATAAGGAAATCGAAATATATATTGCTACCGTCAAGGCAATGCTGTGTCCTTTCAGGCTGACTAAATAAATTAATCCATGGAATTGTATGAATATTGCATAAATGCATTATAAGTTACTGCGGTACTTATTAACCTTAGTGAAAAAAATTCTGCAGAATTGATGATACTTTCGTACAAATTTTTAAGCAAATGATTATTTGCAATCTATATAAAGGTAAAGGTACATTTATAGATAATGTATTGAACATAAAAACGATGGGAAAAATCGAGCAGCAGGAAGATTCAGTGGAACCGGAAAGAAATCAGCGTTATGACGTTGATTCAATTATTTCTACAAATTGCGCCTGAGAAGGGAGTCATAGCCAATACGAGGACTGTTGGAGGGGTCTGACGTTGTAACTGTGATTTTGTCCTTGGTCGATCCTTCAGCGTATAAAGGAAGCTGTGTCCGTTGAAGAGGGCCAGAACAGTTTCGAACGTCGCGTAGTACTATGCCAGCCAACGAGGAGACTTTGGGGGATACCCTGGGGGAGTCAACCCGCTTGAAAACTCTCGACGTTGGAGCTCAGCCTTCAACGACCGGGATCCAGGAGAAAGTTGAGCCCTTAAAAGAAATAGATGACTCTGCAAATCATACAAGGAACCTGGAGGACAAACCGGCTTCTTATTGCAGTCTACCATCCCGTGGGATTCACGAACACTTCCTTCGGGACTTCTTCGAGATTATCTTGGAGAACGCCGTTTTCGAGGTGGGTAAAACTTGTCATGAGAATGAGAAGAACTTTAAATTCATAAAACTAAAAAGTTACATCACTTCTGAAATATCCTATGTAATATTTCTTTTATCTAATATGATTACATCACCTTACTGTTTCCAAGAAAAATCTTTAGGACTGACAGCAACTCAGTGATTATTAACGAGTTTCTAGGTGTAGTAAATGAGTAAGGGTTTTTAATTTACGAAGCTAATAAATGCATGGTATTGGAATTTAATATCGAAGATTATTCAATGAAATGCAACCTAACTAAAATGCAACGTATAATTTTGACATAACGATTTCACAAGGAACTGCTAACTTTCTACAGTTATAACGGCGCAACGACATTTAACAGAGGGCAGGACCTTAATGTCAATTGCATTCACGATTTTTAATTTATACTTTACGGTGCTATTAAACAATTTCGTGACATTGTAGTAAAAAAACTGGCAAAGAATTAAATTAAAACTGAAATCTGGCCTATTATTGTACATCGTGCATGCCAAACGGTCAGCGAACTCAGTGGTATTGATAAAATCATACTATCTTGCGAAATAAGAAATCGCTACGAAGGATATAAGATTTTCTAGTCTTGACCTTTCCATGAGAAGACTCAAATACTTGTTAACATGCGCGTGGCAGTCGTCTACTATTAATTATTTAATAAATTCCATCACTAATAATGCCACGGATAATTTACCAATGATAATTCTTCAAAATTCTTCAGGGTACCTCAAGGAAAACAAGAGTGGTAGAATGGGCAGATCCAGCGGCTTTGCAATCAGCTGTGGATTTAAAACTACGCGACAACGGAATCTCTCACGAGGAGCTACTTGCACTAGTAAAAAATGTCATCAAGTACAGCGTGAAGACAGGGCATCCTCATTTCGCTAATCAACTGTTCTCAAGCGTCGATCCTTATGGCTTAGCCGCCCAATGGCTGACAGACGCCTTGAACCCTTCGGTATACACGTACGAAGTTTCCCCAGTATTTTCCCTGATGGAGGAAGAAGTACTCAGGGAAATGCGTAAGGTAGTTGGATGGAAGGATGGCAGAGGCGACGGAATATTCTGTCCGGGTGGTTCCATAGCCAATGGATACGCCATCAACTTAGCTCGTCATCACAAGTATCCTGAGTTAAAAGAGATGGGTTTGTTCCAAGGACCACGACTGATCGTATTCACGTCAGAGGATGCACATTATTCCGTGAAGAAGCTCGCCGCCTTCCTGGGAATTGGTACTAGGAACGTTTGCTGCGTGAAGGTCGATGACAAAGGGAAGATGTGCGTTAAGGACCTGGAGGACCAGGTTCGTAAAACCCTTAGCGAAGGCGCTCTACCTATGATGGTATCAGCCACTGCAGGTACCACTGTCCTGGGTGCTTTTGATCCTCTCAGCGACATCGCGGCCGTCTGCGAGAAGTACAAAATGTGGTTCCACGTCGACGCCGCTTGGGGAGGTGGTGCATTGATGTCCAGTAAACATCGTCATCTTCTAAATGGTGTAGAACTTGCAGATTCTGTCACCTGGAATCCACATAAATTATTAGCTGCGCCACAGCAGTGCTCTACCTTGTTGCTCCGACATGAGAATCTGCTTCAATCAGCACATGGTCTAAAGGCGACGTATCTCTTTCAGCAAGATAAGTTCTACGACACTTCCTTTGATTCAGGCGACAAACACGTTCAGTGCGGACGTAGAGCAGACGTCTTGAAGTTTTGGTTCATGTGGAAGGCAAAAGGTACCGATGGCCTTGAAGCTCACATCGACAAGGTCTTCGAGTTGTCCAAGTACTTCACAAATCTTGTACGAAATAGGGATGGCTGGAGTCTTCTTCAGGAACCGGAATGCACAAATGTCTGCTTCTGGTATGTGCCACCTTCTATGCGTCAATTGAAAGGCAATGAGCTAACCAATGCTCTACATAAGGTAGCACCAGCTGTGAAAGAGAGAATGGTTCGCAAAGGATCCATGCTCGTTACTTATCAACCACTTCATGGACAGCCAAACTTCTTCAGACTTGTTTTACAGAACTCTGGACTCACGGAAGCTGATATGCGATTCTTCGTTGAGGAATTTGAAAGATTAGCTGATGATCTTTGAAAGTCTCTTTAGACAATTTAGCATTGTGATACGCTACAGTACTCTTTAATGTATTTATATACTGATACGTGTAAATAGTAGGTAGAATTATTATAGATATTAATACACTATGTGGATCAATATCTGATTGGTCCAAGTTGATTAAAAAAAAAATTTTTCACTTCGGTAAATTTAATAAATTTCTTGGAGGTGTCATTCATACACCGGGTAGTTTGAAAATGATTTAATCTTAACGAAAGGTAGGTCTTGGAACCAATTTTTGTAATTTCGCGTGTATTCTCAAATTAAGGATATCAATCGAGAACAATGAAGTATTGTCGAAAATACGTTTGACGTATATTTCTTGTTTACATTGTATCGACATAAAAAAACTGCGACATGTATAATTTTGTATAACAAGAACTCATTAGTGTAATATCTTATCGAAGAATTCAGTGAAAGACTGTCACGTGTGCAGAAACGATAACATAATTACAAGAGCGCACTATTTACAAATTATCGTGATTAAATATTAGAGTCTAATGTCTTCAGGCGGTCCACACGAAACAGCATTCGGTGAAATTCTTCAATTTTAAATATCTCTTCACTATTGTTTGATTCGAACGTAAGATTTTCGTGATAACGAGATTACAACGAGAGTAAGACAGATAACCTAACTATACTCTTTAAGGAACTGTATATGAAACTCTTTTAGACTGTTGAGCATCGTCTTTATCTTATCCTTCTGAGGTAAGATGGTGGTCCTGAAGTGATAAGTGCCAGGTTTTTGGCCGAATCCAGAACCGGCGATAACGCAAATGCCGGTGGCTTCGAGAAGTTTAAAGGCATAGAACACGTCGGGTGATTTTCCTTCGGCCTTAGCAGCTTCAATAGCTTTGGCGGGAAGTTCGAATTGTGGGAATACGTACATGGCACCCATGGCTGGATTAGCCTGGAAGTGAAAATTAAGTATTAGCTTTGTTTATATTAAAAGATCATTTAACATCCTAATACTACTGTTAACACATTTCGTGCTGGTCGCTCCGCTCATACGCCTAGTGGTTATAGGTCCAATTTAAAAGGTATTAATACTCGACCCATCTGATCTCAGCCAACGGTATCGGTATAATAACCGTCACTAACCTTAAATCCAGGGATGCTATTCAAGGTATCAACAACTAGACGCGATCTCTCAGCTAAGGACTGCAAAGTGGCGTTCTTCTCTTCTATAAATTGCTTGTACGACGGCTCGTTTGGTTTTGGGGGATTCGTAACCACATCCATCGCGACCTGACCCAATACCGTGGGACACAACATAGCGGAAATGGACTTCAGTAGAATCGCCATCACTGCCGGATCCATATTGACAATCTCAGAGTATCCACCGCGAATACCACACTCGCCCATATATCCTGGATAGGAATTAAATCAAGAATATCCTTAAGCTCCATCAAACTCATCTTTAAAACTACATCATATAAAATGACAAGGGTACCTTTTGAGATGGACATAAAGGATGCCAATTCCATCTTAGAATACGGCGCGCCCATTTCCATCATGACCTTCTTAACTGCATGGAAGGAGCTTTCCTTATCATAAATGTTATCTTGGTAAACTTCATCAGCGAGGAGGAAAAGCCGATGCTTATGTGCAAATCGGATGATGTCCTCAATGTTTGACCTGGTCAACACCTGTCCCGTTGGGTTACCAGGATTGATAACAACAAGAACACGAGGATTGGAAGTCTTCTTGCCTTCCGCCAAAGCCCTCTCCAACTCACTGATATCCAAGGACCATTTGTTCTCCTCGTTCAGGTAGTATCCAACCTGAGCAAGACCAAACTCAGCAAGTGTAGCCGAGTACAATGGATACTGTGGAATTGGTATCAAAACTCCAGAAGGCTTTCCATTGATTTTCTCGTTGAACAGCTTCAGTACGGACTGCAAATATTTTATACATAAAACGTTAAATTCAACCAATGGCTTATCTCTTGTGTAAGATATCTTAGATACATGATTAACAAATACGTGACTAATTAGGATCACGTGACTAATTTAGATGGACGGACATAGCCAAACGTAGATATTCGAACAAACAAACTGCACACTTTGATTCCGTCTGATGCTCCACCAGATAAGATGACGTTTTGATAGTCGCAAGGAATCCCATCCCGCTCTTGGATGTACTGTGCTACGTGTTTCCGGATCAGTTCAATCCCAGCTGATTCCGAATAGGATCCTACGCTTCCACCTTTACACCCGCCCAGAATAGCTCTGGCTCTGTTCTTAGCGTCTTCGGGATAACGAGGATCATCCAGGAGTTCAGGAGTCACAGTCAAGGCCAATACTTGCCGAAGGAAAGTGATGGGCTTCTGGCCCATTGCGTGTGCATCTCCAACATTGGCTTTGATTACCTCTGTGAATGGTTTCTTGACTCCCTGAAAAATAAAATTGTTAAAACTTTATTTATCGCTCATCGTCGAATTTTACGCTCACTAGCGACCGACTCAATTCGGCGCGGAATCATCGCCAGTACCGATAACCGTTGACCATCAAGAAGTCGATTAGTAGGCTTCCGGTAGATAAAGTGTTAAATATCAATATGCAATTATACACTGATACCTTTAGTGTTGGTTATTGTTATACAATGGTACGTAAGAAAACGTATCCTTTGAAGAAGGGCATAGTCTGCGTATAAAGGAATATTACGTAACGGATATCGATAATAATTATTAACAGAGTTCATTTCTATTTTTATACCCTACGTGGGACCTTGAAGAGCGACTCGTCTTCTGTTATAAAATGCAAAATATACCCCGTTTACGGAATATACGGCAAGTATATTGCAGCTTAAAAAGTTTACCACATACGATATACGTTTCACTTTGAAGACCTTGAGATACAGTTTAAATAACATCTTTATAATTTCGACCAGTCTTCGATTTTGCGTTGAATTACATTGTTTGCACTTGCTTCAATACGTATATCAAAAGTTGTTAGTGTATGATACAGCATCTTTTGATGCTGGAGCACGTTGTTACTAACTCATAATAGCATTTGATTCTACGGTTCTCAACTTTCAACAGGAAACGTCCAATTTGTACAAACTCGTGTTTGCCTGTGTAACAACCAATCCTCAAGCACGAATAGAACGGGTGATTCTGACATCAGCTTATTATTTGACTCTCTCATTTACAGGCAGTTGCGTATCGGCAAACGATTGGAAAAAACCAACTGTAATGGTACATTAAAATTCTCTAGGTTATTTTCGCAAAATGTTACAATAGAAACTATACAGTTTAATTTTTAAAATTTATTTACTTAAACTTGTGACAGAGTAATAAGTAGTTGCAGTAATCTACTATAGGCAGTTTGATAGGAAAAGTATGTATGAAGATTATATGGGAAATATAAATACAGGACTGTTATGAAAAGAAAAATGTACATAGCGACAGACTACTCGAGTTGTGTAAATATGAAGATCATAGGCATTGCATAACTACAATCCTAAATTTCCTGAAAATACATAGTAACCAATTTATTAAAATACTTCGCAGATTGTAGTATCCGGCTAAAATTAATATAAAGTAATAGATCTATAATAAAAGTGAAGAAGCCGAATAACGATCTCTTGATAAGCATTATTATAACTTTACAACCAATAATAAGCAGGATAGATTACACTGATATACTTTTATCGTTGCCAAAATCGATTGTAAGGACACCACGTGGTGAAAAAGTAAGCAATACATGTATGCAATATTTCAGGAATGTACAAAATTAAGAAAAAAAAAGATGCATGGAATAATAGTAGTATAACAAATTGCCTACTTACGAGTGTACACCCGGTAGATTCGCAAGCATCAGTTTCGCTAGATACAGAACTACATGTAAATTGAGGCACGAGATGCGTGCAAGTACAATGGCCTTTAGCCTATAGAAGAAACAAGCAGACAAAAGGGCAGCGAGTAAAGTCCAGTTAAAAAATTCATCCAAATCAGTAACGTGCATTTGAACGTAGATTCCAAAGATGCTGTAAAAAATAATAATAGCATGACGATCGCTCCTATAATAACTAGAAACAAAGCCCGTCTATCGAAAGCGTGAGAGTTAATAGCACATATCCTGATCGGAGAAGTAAGACACAAAGGAAAGGAATAAAAGGATTATATCAATAGCGAGTAATTCCTCACCCGCTGTAATTCCTTTTCGATTTCCAGAGCACGTATCAGAAGTGGACCCCGGACAGCATATTCCATTCGCTGGAGGTTAGAATAGACATTTTCTCCTGTAAGTATCTTCTCCTGTTCGCTTAAACTCGCCATGCTGCGACGAAACGTCGTTAAACTCGACAGCGGCTTGACTAGCGAGACCACTCCTGCTTCTGTACCTCTAGCTAAGTCTGCCCCTACCCGTACGCCTGAACACAAGCGCGCCCCACGCTCCCATCCTCGTGGCCAGCTGGCGATAACGACATTCGTCAACCGTACATGAGACATGATGGTCGACGTCGAAAAAGCCTTTTGCGTCACGGGAAAAACGACGATTACGGCACGCGACTAGTTCGTTCACTTGAAAATTTTCCTGGACGTCACCAACAACCCCTGAGACACGTCTGGCACGAGTGTTGTCCCTGGTCGACGACGACGCTTTAACCTCCCAACGCTTCGATCTGCGACGTCGCCGTCTTGCGAGTGGCGCTGTGCTTATTGAGGATTCACTTTGCTGCAGTCTCTCTCTTTTTAATCTGGCCTCTTTTTTCAATTTGATCTCATTCGAACACCTGCACTTTTCTCTTGGACTTGATCACCCTGACTGTCTGAGGTATTTTTATGGACACGGTTGCTCCTTGAGAGATCTTTATCTGCACAAATATAAATTTGATTAATTTTATTATTTACTTGGACTGCGTCATTTCGGATGATTTTCATTCGACTGTGAGAATGGAGCTTGGTACTGTTTTCTTGTACTGTGCTGACGATAAGTCGATACACTGTCAACCGACTTTTGAAAGGCTGTAAACTAATTTAATGTCACTAGTCGTCTTTAAATTAATGACTTGGTTCACGTTGTATATACATTGTCTATCTTTCTCTGTTTGCTCGTTCATTATGACTCCTCATAAAGTCATATGTTCATATGAAACTGCTGAAATGGACTGACTTTTTTGTACGTACATTGATTCCATTTTTTAAGTAGCAAATCTGCGATATAAATAATATAAATTCTTTGAAGCAAATAGACCAAGAAACAAAATAATACTCATACCCAAATAGACAGACGTACATATATATTCTTTGCTTCGTATTTAGATCATGTTGACTTACGTCGTGCTACGAGGCTGTACGTCGTTTATAACTGCTAATGCGATACTAATATTTGTCATAGAGTAATTGAATTAATGCAAGAAAGTTCAGTGGACTTAATGTCCCATTAATGGCCATGTGAGTTTAACTTGCAACAAAGATATCTCTACGTTTATAAACGACATATTGAGATAAAGATTCATCTCAAATATATTGTATTATTTGACTCAGAGTTTGCATCATATGTTGTTATACATAATCTAGAAAATTTTACCATGTCTGTTTTTTCCCTTTCTATGATAATCATGACTGTCTATCTGGGTAAAGTCAGAAGAATATTCTATCTTTAGAGTTAGTAGATACGCCGAGATGAAATATATTACATAACCTCAAAGACGCATGGTTAGAGCACGTACGTGGCTTTGTGAAAAACAGTTTTGAATTTTAACAAATATATAAAACGGCCAGACTATAATATTTGTAAATAGGTATTTAAATCATTAATGATTCTTTTAAAAATGTAATAATCTGATGATTATATGTGGAATCTCTTAATTGAATATTCCACTTGACACTGATTAATTATAATCCTGAATTCTTCCAAAGTTTATAAAGAGCAATGAGAATTTATTATGAATCAATGAGAAACATTGCCGTGACTGATTAATCCATTTTTTTCCAAATATATAGTCTAGACTATAATAATAGTTGACTGCATTGCCCCGGCTATATAATTCTACAATAGATTTCACTGTAGTGTAGCATAACGAACGATATAGATATAATCAGCACGTGATTCGCGTCAAGTGATTCGATGCGGATAATTATATTGTATTAAAAAACCTGTGACACTAATTGAGCAGGAATTTGTATCTTTACTTTAGGTATTGATAAAAAAATAATGAAATGGGAAAGAAACGAAAAATAAGATAAATCACCTGCCGATAATAACGTCCCTTGATTGTAATTTTATCTGGAAGTTAATCGATTTTCGTTATTTAAAAAATTAAAAATGGTTATTCATAACTATCGAGCTACCTGAAGATGGGTTTACCACAGGAATTAATAAAAGTCAAATATACAAAACCATGCTCAGATGGTACAACAGTCTTGAATAACTGTGTATATACACATGTATATATAATACAATGTTTTTTCTCCCAATAATCACTACCATAAGATAACAGACAATTGCATGTTTCTTGAACTTTATACTCTTCATTCCACTTATGTTGTTATCATTGGATGAGTTATAATGAAATATAATATAATGCACTGAGATTTTTACATAACATAATAAAGTGTCTTAATTTATTATAAGCTTTATTTTTGCCCTATATAAATTAATATGCTTTATCTTCCACTGAATTAAATTTGTAAACTGTTGACAATTAGTAGATGGGTTTAATTAATTTTATAAAATTATAAGAAACAACTGTTTAAAATGTTAGGGATTATTTATGAAACAATTTTAAGATTGTATAAGGTAATTGTATTTATTTGTAGATAATTTATCATCCTAGTGTAAATTAACTGACGGAAATGCAATCGGTTTGAATGCGATCGTTACTGTAGTTCTGGTTGCCGACACCCAGGCGTCGCCAACTGTCTGATACAAGAATACTGTTACGAAACGAATAAAAATGTCGGTATTGAACATCTGCCTGAATTTGAAAATATTATATACGTACTTAACGTAAAGTGTACTGGATCTTGAATTTTTTTAAATAATAAAGCAACGAGCAGAGAAACGAACTACGTAATTTTCTAGGTGACACAACAATGGACAGACTGATAATATACACAAATAATTTGCATAGTGATTACTGGTTATTAATATGAATACTTTCGTGTTCACGCGACTGATTCTTATAATGTCGTACCTCTGTGGTATCGCAGTTATAAATGAACGCACTTTCGCAAAGCGAGTTAAAAAAGTGAAGCTTCGTCACTTCGTTATTACTTAACAGTTGAACAATCGACTTATGGACTCTGAACTGATTTTAAACATAGAATTGTTCTAGTTGCTTTTCTCCGCTACAATTGAATTCCGGTTACCTCAATTACGCTTGTGACGTAGAACACTCGTTTGTGGCAAAGGGCCAGAAGCCTAAACACAGAGTATGCCCGGATTTCTCAAAATAAATTCCACAGAAATCCGGCGCTTAGACTGCTATGTGTCATGCGCACTTTTTGGAAGACAATTATGACTTTAACATCAACATAACAAAACAGGATACACACACGAGCTCGGATTTTTGTCACTTTAATTCCGTTCGATCGTGCAATCCAATTAAACAAAGGCAGTTCAATAATTCCCGATGAAATTAACGAATAACATACGACCGTTAAATCCGAAATTCAAAATTCACTAAACATTACCATCCAGTTTCCACGTTATGACGCGACTGCTTTAACCAAACGAGAATTTGTATTAGAATGAAGAAGAAACACTAACAACGTTATCATACTTACGTACGTATAGATACGGGTATAATTTCTAAAGATAAAAAGAGCCGAGAAAAAACAACGAAATGCATACTTTTGTGCCCCCAGTACATTAAGACTTGTCAATAAAATTTTAAAGTAAATCATAATTACGTAGCAGCACTGGGTCATCATGTTATCAGGAATAAATAAACCCTTGGACTTCATTTTTTATAATCTTATCAAAAACACGTAATACCATTTGGATAATCAAAACGTCGAGCACGAGATATTCTCTGGTAAACAGAACTCACCGACGACGTTCCTTCCGATCGCGTTTGCAAGGAAACCTCGACTATTCTCGCCAGCGTGCTGCTACACCTCCTACAGCATAATACTCAGCGATAAAACATGACAGTGCTTGCATCTGCCTATCTATATATAATTCTATATTCACAAGTACTATACCTGAACCTGCTATAGCTTACGAGGTGGCTTCTTTATCGGACACGTTCCCTTTGGCAGATTGCCTCCTATGTATGTGTTATATGAAAAGCCACCGAGTGAAGAAAGTCTCCTAACCTACAAAAATGTTTCTTGACAATGTACTATAAAACCTGACGTAAGTATCTTTCTTGTACTGGAATATACAAAGAATATCTACTCCATCTTCGGTCACATTATTATTTCTTATCGCGGTGACATCTTTTGTCAGGTATCACTAAGATTTGGCATCTTGCGCGATTATTGCTACGCGACGAACGGCAAGTTTGATATTTTTAGATTATTATACAAGGTATTGTGAACTCTACTCTACGTCGTGAAGATAAAACGCTTCTGATTAGCGTCGTCAAGGCTTCTTCGAGACAATTATTATTCTGGTTGCGTCTAGACATTCCTGTCATGTTATTACAGAAGCTTCGCTTTCATTCTAGTTTGTTATTTCATTACTCAGTAGTTCGAAGACTCTTTTTAATGCCAAACAAGATTTGATTTACTTATTAACTGCTATTTATTATCTGTAGGTTTATGTAGGAATGATTTTATTATTATTATTATTATTATTATTATTATTATATATCCTCTTCAAATTCCTTAGCATCTTCTTGGTCAATCTTGCTAGTGCATTGACTCTATTAGATATAGCAATATCATGTGCATCAATAAACCAAGGATATATGCATGTATATTATTGTATCAGACAGATAATCGATAAGAGGTTTTACGAGTGTCATAAATAATAATGATATTAAGTCTATAACACTTGAGATTATAAGAATTTGTTGCTTAATGTCAATTTACCATCGAGGCTTTTTTCCCTTTAATCTTGGCACTTGGGCATTTCCCGATAACAGACTCTAATGATACTATTGCTCGTGTTATACTGCGGGTACAGGGAATGCTTAGTTGTTAGCCTTAAATTTTATTGTTGGACGGTATCAGTTTGATATTTGCACAATATATTAACAATTATTATTTTGTCAACTCGATAAAAAAATACACAAAATACTGATATATTATAATAATATTAGGACACACTGGAGCCCTGCCCAGATCGAAGTCGGTTGCAACAAAATATATATATATATAATATATTTATATATTTATTTATATACTTTTTATGTATAATTATTTGTGCATAAGGCACGAGGCGTCTCGTTCCTTTTTCGCTTTTCGTATACATTCACGCAATTATTATCCGACGAATATTCGAATTTTTTATTTCGTAAAAATAAACTCGATCACTAACACGAGTACCACCCTTAAATTACAAAGTGACGAGAAGCGAATTCAATGACCATGAAACTAGAGAAAAACAAGATTCAATTATTGCCGCGAAATTCGAAAGTACCGAATACATTTCTTCGCCATTTTCATCTAGTGCCTCTCCCATTTCTTTATTTTTTCGTTCTTTTCTTCACTCCAAGACATTTTCGTCTCGGCTTTTTCTTCCTCTCCTCACTCTTCTCTGTCTTTACATTCTAGCTTTCCCCATCGCCACTGTATCGCAATGATAAACTGGAGCGTGAAAGGAACGTTACGCTGACGCAGCCCGTTATACTCTAGAAAAATGTACAATAACGTCGACGTGGCCAACCAAACATTCTGAGCGTTGATACTTAAAAAGAAACATTTATTCATATAATATAATCAATTGGTCTTTCATAACATCTAGAACAATTAATAATTCTTAACAGTGACGCGCGTCCTGAATCGAATTTGCTGAAGTCCGTTAACCGTTAAAATAGAAGAAAAGAAAACGAAGAAAATAGACAAACGTAAGAAAACAGATGATAGACTAAATAAAAAAAATTAGTACAGACGCGCCATTAAAAATTCGCGGTATCGTAAATTGGCCACTCTTCGGTAGTAATAATTATTATTCATTAATAAAATAATAATAAAAACATTTTCTCGCAGTAACAGTTTTCCATCACGCTGTGTTTTCTAATTAGAAAAATATTCGTATTAGAGATACACACTTTATTGGTCCGATACATATATCTATACAGGGTGTCCCAAAATTACCTGACCAACGGTGTATGGTGGTGTTCGGGAGGCACCACTGATCACGAAAATGACCTTCCTTTTGTCCGGAAGGTCATAATTTTTAAATGGGAGCAGGTCAAAGTTGACCAATCAGAGGAATGCGTGAAGAGGAACGTAGCCACCTACGAACTCTGAGTTTTCTTCCCTCGCTTTTGTTTCTCGGTGGATTCGGGCAGGATGACGTCAGCCGAAGACATGCCTATTGGATACAAGAAACAAGCTACCGAGAAACAAAAGCGAGTGAAGAAAATTCAGAGTTCGTAGGTGCCTACGTTTCTCTTGACGCCCCATTCTGATTGGTCAAGTTTGACCTGCTCCCATTTAAAAACTATGAACTTCCGGACAAAAGGAAGGTCATTTTCAGGATCACTGGTGCCTCCCGAACACCGCCATACCCCGTTGGTCAGGTAATTTTGGGACACCCTGTATACACGTATATATGCATGTATATATGTATACATGAATATCACGCAATATGCACATGTATATAAACCACGCAGTTAATGTAAAAAAAATATATATATCGTGGGCTATATCACTATACCTCAAGCAGCCTTGAGAATGGAATGTATTGCGCTCTTTCATTTTTATATGGTACACGAATAACATGAAATTAATATTTCGAAAGTAATTATATTTACAAGACTTACAAATCACACCTAAGAAAAATGACACAATCGTACCGTGCCTATACGTAGTCTGATCTCGGCGACACATAGCACTTGAATCATATCCTTTCCATTAAGATAAATACTCAACCAAGAAACATACTTATTGGCGCAGATCTTTAGGACTGACAATGAGACACAATACTGTTCTGTAACACGTAAAAGTAGCGTAAGGCACGTTACGTGCTTCTGTAATGTGTGAATAAACAATATAAGGATTCTTTTAAATTAGTTATGTCATACGTTACGGTTTTATGTGTTACAAAATTGCATTGCGCGTCAGCTTTAAGAATTGGTATACTTCTGAAATAGTGCGTCACTCTTTAAATACATCTACATATAGAGTTTATCGAACCACACGTGGTTTTCTCCACTGTCAATGCTCCCAATATAACCACCGAGTGGTAAATATAAGCAAACAAAGATAGTGCCACGCTGTGCATTGTACTGATTGTGAGTGTATTGCCCCTTAATGGGTTTATGTGGGTTTGAGAAACTGCCATTTCAATATAGCCACATGAGAGATTAAAAAATCTCTATACGTCCGTTTATATAATTGTGAAGTTTGCATTTTTCATTTTTGTTACGTATTTTTGTGTTATTTTTGCAATGTTCGGTGATTACGATAATCGAGCTGCCTTCAAAGGAAAATTATTGTTAGAGGTTGAGGCTGTGGATTAGAAGTACGTTTGACTTGGTGCGTACGAGAGTTTCACGTTGTGCAAGGTTGCTAGAAGGATAATGGAGGAAACGTTGGTTCGATACCAACTGATAAGATTTTGGTTAATTGATTAGTAATGTCTTTTTCGCTCGCTGCTAAGAATTTGATAGATTGTCATACTCGAGATCAAACTACGACGGGCGTGAGAGCATCTCTACGTACTGGGGGAGGTTAGACTACCTAGCATTCTGACTTGTCTTCTTCTACCAGCTGTTGCGTGTCCTTGCCCGAATCGTTGGGCGTAGGATCCAGTTCTCGCCTCTTTAGGTGAACCTGAGGTGGTTCTTTGTGCTGGATACTTGACGGTTTTATTTCAGCTGGCACCTCGTAGATACCGCTACCGCTTGTGCCGTTCGTCGTACCCGTTTCCACGTTCACGGCATCGTACATGGGATTGCTGAAGTCTCTGTTCTTATTGCTGACCTCACTGAGGTTGTATTCCACGTCGAGCGGCTCCTAATTCGAAAAGGAATGGTTCATTATTTATATATTTTTCATAACATAGCTTGCTGGTGATAATTCATGTTAAATATTCTTGTTTATTTTCTTTAAATTTGTGGTTACGAAGCAGAAAATTTCTTTCGGTGACTTACCATTCGCTCTGGTGAAGATGCACCGAACTCTACATTACTACCCTGCCTGAATGAGACACTCTGAGCACCGGTTAGGCTACCCAGGCCACCAGGTTTGCCACTGGAAATAATTGTTATATCAATATTGTAGTAAAATAACACAATATAGATTTCATGTGATATATCGAAGACAGAAGGTATACTAATGAATGGGATCGCAGTGTTTCTACTTACAATGGTCGTTTTTTGAGAACCATGAAGACAGCGGCAGCTCCTAGGAAGACTAAAATAGCCACAACTATTGGAACGACAATAGCAGCTGTCGAAGTGCCACCTCTGGTTGCCATGATACCAATTTCACAATACTGTCCATGGAAGTTGTCCGGACATGCGCACTCTAACGTACTTGTGTCAGTCTCCTTACAGAAGCCACCATTCTGACACAGACAAATTCTCGGAGCTGGTCTAGGTCTTTCAGATGCAGCATCACAGTCTTTCTCGCTAGTCTGAGGTGTCTCTGGACCTCCACTGTCTGGACACAGACACTTGTGTCCAAGTGGAATGGCTACGCAGAGATGAGAACAAGGATCGTTGTGACAAGGATCTCGAAGGCTGATATTGTATCTCAGTTCATGGTAAACCCTGACACCTCCAGGTGTAGGGATATTATTGAGAACGACTTCAGCAACGCCACGACCAAACTTGTCCTGCTTCATCAGTTCTCCAGACTGCTGCGTGGTCCAGTAGACGTCACTTTCGAAGACGTCAAGTCCCACAGGCTGTTTCAGTTTCTTTCCACGCAGTATAACCTTGCGATTTGAACCATCCTGACGTATCGACTCAATGGTATTCAGTTTGTTATCTGCCCAATAAAGGGTGTGATCCATCGCATGATCCACAGCAAGGGCTGTAGGTTTAGCAATCTTATCTACAACCAAGGGTCTTCTCCTGCTCCCGTCCATCCAGGCGACTTCTATCTTAGGTTGAGTACCCGCGTCCGACCAGAAGATGGTTCCCAGTTGGGGATCTAAGACAACGGAGCTTGGCGCCTCGAGACCCAGGGTCACCAGGCTACGACGATATCGACCATCCGACTTCGAGACCATTATTCTACCGCGTGATCCCGCAATCGAAATGTCCACTTCACTCCAATATAAATTTCCAGATATCCAGTCAACAGCTAAGCTCATAGGTTTCGAATCACCTAAGAGAAAATATAAAATCAATATCACCAACGTACTACTATACTACCTCAAAGATTAAACTCAAGAATTAATATCAGCTTACTCTTTATACTGAGATCCTGTGGATATCCTATCTTAACGTCCCCGTCTTTGGCGTTGATCATGTATGATCTCTTGATCGTATTGTCATGAGAATCGATCCAAAAGACGTATTCCATCCGCGGATCGTAATCGATATCTTGCACCCTCTTCTCATCGACAACCACATCCATTTGCTCCTTCCTTCTGAGGTCATACGCTCTAATGGACTGACCATGACCAAAGAGTAAAGTAACATCATTTTTCACAGCACGACAAACCCCACTGCGGTTATCCAATGAGACAAATCCTTGACGACAAGAACATCCATAGGTGCCATTGTAATTCGTGCAAATTTGCGAGCATTGGTGTTGGCCCGTCGTGCACTCGTCAATGTCCTCGCAGTGTTTACGATTGTTCTGTGAAGTTATAAAGCCAGGATAGCAAGCGCAGATGTAACTGGTATCACTGATGTTTCTGCAATAGTGAGCACAGCCTCCTCTGTTGCCATCCGTGCATTGCTTATTATGATCTGAAAATAAATAACAATGATCATCCAGAAAATCTTGCGTATATACAGAATACTTCCAAAGCTTGCAAATAACTTGATGGACACTTACGGCATCCTAATTCATCTGAGGAGTCATCACAGTCATTGGCAAAGTCGCAAACCTTAGACCGATCGATGCACTGATTATTAGCGCACTGATAAGCAGTCATTAGATTACAAGGTGTAAACCGTGGAAGAGCACAGAGGGTCATGTTATTCTCATCGGACCCATCACCGCAGTCATCGATTCCGTTGCATAACTGATACATGTGAATGCAACGATTATTGGCGCAATGGAATCGTGTTGGAGTATCGCACTTGAAGTTAGCTGCAAGTTCAAAAAAGATCATTAAAATAGTATCCTCTAACATAAGAGGACCTATCGACGAAAAGATTAACTGTGACTGGAAACTCACCACATGTAGATGAACTCTCGTCAGAGTTGTCACCGCAGTCGTCATTTCCGTCGCACTTGTCTGACATTAAAATGCACAGATTGTTGTCGCACTGGAATCGCGATTCAGGACAAAATCGACCACCAGGATATCTTGGAGCACAGCCCCTCTCGTCGCTCATGTCAGGACAATCCTGTGTGCCATCGCAGCGCAATTCCGCCGAGATACAATGGCCGGTTGCACATTGGAATGTATCGCCCTGATTAAAGAGAACAGCGTTATTTAAATCTAATGCGTTACTATAGGCTGATAACACCTGGTCTGGATCATTCATGTACCAGGTCTAGTCCTACCTTGCAGACAAAGGCTTGGCAATCGGTCTCATCAGATTTGTCTCCGCAGTCATCCTCCTGGTCGCATCTCCATCGTGACGCGATGCACTTTCCATTCTTACACTTGAACTCTGACTCGCTGCACTCTCTGTAACGGTCCTTGCACATGTTCTCGTCCTCGTCACTCCCGTCGCCGCAGTCATTAGTGAAGTCACACAACCACGCCTTGGGTACGCATCTCTTGTTAGCGCACTTGAAGTCAGTTTCCGGGTTGCACTTGGGACAGCTCTCAGGACGCTCGTCAGAACCATCACGACAGTCGCCCTTGCCGTCGCAGAAGAGCCACTTGGGAATGCAACGATAATTAGCCTGTCCAGGACAGCGCTCCCATCCTATCGGACAGCTCTGCTGTCGGCACATGTATGCTGGCTCGTCGCTGTCATCTCCGCAATCATTATCAGAATCGCACATCCATAGTTTGGGTATGCACTTGCCGTTCTTGCAACTGAACTCTGTGGTGGGATCGCACTCTCTGTTGTCTGATAAAGGAAAATCAAGAATTGACAGGTGTTCTGAATGAAGTATAGAACTGTCTGATACGTATTTTGTAAATGGTACTCACGACAGATTGCCGGATCTTCATCACTGCCATCCTTACAGTCAGCGTCGCCGTCGCACTTCCATGAGTTATGAATACAGCGACCATTTGATTTGCACTTGAACTCGAGCTCAGGACATTCTAGAGAGCAATGAGCTTCGTCGCTCTTGTCGCCACAGTCGTCGGCACCGTCGCACACTGTGGCACTAGCTGTACAGTTGCCATTCGTGCATTGGAACATTCCAGAGCGGCACCGACGTGTTGGACAGGCCATGGACTCGTCCGAACCATCCTTACAATCTTTTTCACCGTCGCACCTTCAATCACAAGATCACGTATGTTAGGCAATCCTCTTAACCCTTGTGGAATATGAATTTGTTTCAGTATTACTTACTTCCAGTACCAGGGTATACACTTCTCATCAGGTGGTCCACATCGATGCTGTCCATCTGTACAATTGGCTCTGCAGGTTCTGCCATGCTGGTCTAGATAAAATTGATTCGGGCAAGCGCACTTGTAGGAAGTGATGCCAGGTTGACCGTAACCTTCTAGCAAGTAAGAACTCGCTGGTGGTGAAATTAGACAAAGATGGGAGCAATTATTCTTCAAACAGGGATTATTGTAAGGAAGCTGTCTGAGCGGATGGTAGACGTGGATGTCATATGGCCTGTGAGTCGTGTTGCGTAGAACTTTGAGATGAGAACCAGAGAATTTCTCTGCCTTGCTGATAGCCTTGAGGTTCCAGTCTGTCCAGTAGATGTAGTCATCGAATACCGTTATGGCAAACACGTGGGGCACTGCCGTACCAGAGAGTACTCTGCGACGATTGTGACCCTCCAGATCAGCAAAATCAATGTAATGAAGATGAGCATCAGCCCAGAAGATCCTATCAGTGAAGTAGTCGATAGTGAGTGCGTTGGGCCAAGCCAGACCATCGTTCCAGGTTAAGATTCGCGTGAAGTTGCTACCGTCCATTCCCATTTTACCAATGTAAGCCTGACAGAGAAATTGAACCAGTTCAATAAGATGTTCGTGCCTCGTCTTGCAAGGCCAAGTCTTGCTATCTCAAACTAAAAAGCAACTATACCTGAAGATGCCAGGATGTGAAGTACAGGTATCCAGTACCAGGATGAACGACTATTGCTCTTGGATCAATGACTCCATTCAGCAATGTCTTTCTATTGGTACCATCAAGTTCAGCTACCTCCAAGTGTTTGGAGTGTCTATCCAGCCAATAAAGTTTACGTCCTATCCAATCAACAGCAATACCTTCAAGACCATGACTGTCGTGCCTAATTATTGGTTCCTTTTCACCTCCTGCCAATGACGCCCTGGGTAGATTAAAGTTTAAATGCATTATTACCACCAATGTACATACATTCTCAGGATAGTATCAACTTCTAATTCAAGATTAGAGTTCTTTTTAAATTTTGTCCTACCTGAATATTGTTTTAGCAGTAACATCACAGAAGTAAAGCTTCTCCTGGACGTAGTCCGCGTCAAGGGCAACGACATTAATGAGATCCTGGTGCATGAGACTATATTGGGAAGCATCCGTTGTCATGTTCCTAACGTAGTACTTGTTCGTGAAGATGAGCCATGGCTCTATGTTGTCACGACGTTTACACGTGTGCTCATCCGCAGCACGGTCGTAGTAGAGCTCGTTGCACTTACAATAGTAACTACCCGGAGTGTTCTCGCACTGTTGGCTACACACCTGGGGCGTCTCTATGCACTCGTCGATATCCGCACAAGCTTTCCCGTCCTTCAGGAGTTTATATCCCGGATTGCACTCGCAATAGAAACTAGTCGGAGTATCTACACATCTGTGACCGCACTGATTCATCTCTACTTGAGCACATTCGTCCACGTTGCAATGAGCTGGTTCATCGCTCTCGTCTGCACAGTCTGGTTCTTTGTTGCACACCAATTGTTGGTCAATGCACATTTTGTTTGCGCATTGGAATTCGTTTGGATTGGCACACGTGCTGCCTTTGTCTTTGCTTGCTGCAGGAAAGCAGAAAGAGATTAGAAATATTATAAATCTACTATTGCATTCAGATTGAAGAAATTAGGATTTTGAATATTTTAAAAGAAACGTCATTGAGAAATCATTCATCACTTACGACAGTCCGCTTCGTCTGATTGATCGCCGCAGTCGTCCTGACCGTCGCAACGGAATTGCTTCCTGATGCACTTGAAGTTGTGACAGGTGAATTCGTTCGAAGTGCAAGCCTTGTATTTGGAGTTGCAGAATTTCCCTTCGTCACTCCCGTCGCCGCAGTCATTGTCATGATCGCAAAGCCAGTTTTTATTGAGGCATCTTCCGTTGTTACAGGTGAATCGATCCTCGCCACAAGATACCGGTTCAGGACAATGATGCAAGGTTACATTCTCATCAGCACCATCCACGCAGTCAGGATCCCCATCACAGAGCCACTTCTTGGGAATGCACTGGGCCCTGTTCCAGGCTTTGTTAGCTGTGCATGTGAACTCAGTCTCTTCGTCACACTTTCTATCATCTGAAACGAAGTTATAATTGTTAATAAATTAATGACACCCACAAGACTCAATGGTTTACAACAAAGCTAGAGGTACTTACTGCACTGATGACGTTCGTCTTCGTCAGAATTATCAAGACAATCGTTATCCCCGTCGCATATGTAAATCCTAGGTATACAGTTTCCATTGTCACAAGTAAACAAATCACCGAAACAAGTCCTGCTCTCCGAATGACAATATTCTGGCGGTTCGTCACTTCCATCCAAGCAATCATCGTCACCGTCGCAGTGCCAGGTCGCTGGTATACACCTGTGATTAGGACAGCGAAAGCTGTTCTGAGGACACGTTCTCTGAGCACAATGAAGCGGGTCTTCGTCGCTGTTATCTCCGCAATCGTTATCGCCATCGCAGAGCCAATAAGGTTCGACGCAGATGTTTGTTTTCTCACACTTGAGATGATGTCGTGGACAGGTTGTGTTCCTTGGACACCGCTCGTGTGTCTCATCAGAAGTGACATTGTCCTTGCAGTCATTGACACCGTTACAGACCTGAGACAAGGGTATGCAGCGATAATTGGCGCACGTGAATTCTTCTGGTCCACATTCTGGATAAACGCAACCCTCTTCGTCGCTGCCGTCGCGGCAATCATTCTCATGATCGCACTTCCACGTTTTGTAGATGCAGCGACCGTTGTTGCAGCGGAACTCATTGGGACTGCATGAATGGTAAGCTGCGAAGAAGACAGCGATTAGAGATTAATTTACTTTGACATTCGTAATCAATAATATATTTCGGACTTACAGCAATAGTTGGTATCCTCGTCTGATCCGTCGCCGCAGTCGTCATCGCCGTCGCAGGCCCACATTCGTGAGATACATTTGCCATTTCTGCAGGCAAATTTCGGAGAATCGCAGGTGACATTCTTAGGTACACACATTCTGCCGTCGTTGACCAGTCTGCTGTTGTCGTCGCATTTACATTCCGCCGAACCATTGGGTGCTGGATGACATGACTGATCACAGCCGCCATTCCTAATATTGCACGGATTGACACTGCACTGTTGTCTGGCTGGTGAAAAAATGTGAAGGTCCCTCGGTGAGTCTTCTAAACGCTTTACCAATTCTACTTTGTTAGCTCCAGTGTGCTTTTCGGCACGGTAAACTCCTCTCAGTTGAAGATCCGTCCAGTAGATGTGCTCTCTGAACACTGTTATAGCGAAGGGATAGATAGTGGCGCTGACTAGGACTTGCCTGTTGTTCCCGTCCAGGTCGGATCTTTCAATTTTCTCACGCACCGCGTCCGTCCAGTACAGCATCTGCTCATCATAATCCACAGCCAGGCCACTGGGCTGGGACAAATCGTGCTCGATAATAGCCTTCTTCAAAGAACCAGCCATGGTCGTCCTGAAGATCTTTCCTGAAGTGCCAAATCGGCCCCAGTCGGTAAAGTAAAGCGTCCCGTTACAAGGATCTACGACAATGGCCCTTGGTCTATCGACACGAGCTATCATCACCAGGTCAGACCCGTCGATGTTCATGGCGTAGATACTATTGTTCGACGAATCAGTCCAGTAAATCTTTTTCTGGGTCCAATCGTAGGATATTCCCTCGGGATTGATGCCTTTGGTGATGAGATTGTGAATGTCCATCGATGAAGGGTTGTCGGCCTGCATCCAAGCGATCTTAGTCCAGGGTCTGATCTGAGTAAAGAGTAACTTCTTGTCCTGGTAGTCAAAATCTACACCCACCACGTTTGTCAGGTTGCCTACTGGTTTGAAGGGAATACTCGTCACGCGGGTATCCAAATTAATGGACCTTATTTCTGTTCTTGTCGCAAAGACAAGGTACTCTGCTACATTTTCACAAGACTTCCCATCAGCCGACAACTTTCCAGTGGCGCAGTCGCACTTCTGCAAACTTGGACTCGAGGATGGGAATGCAAAGCAAAGTTGTTGACAACCGCCATAGTTGTTACCAGCACAAGGATTCGTATTGTCGGACGGTTGGGTGCTCTGATCGTATATAACAATATCCCTGAGTTTAGGTAAGTTTGTCCTGACCGGGATGGGCAGACTTATGTTTCCAGGCTGCTTGCTGGCTCGGAAGACAGTTGCTAAATTTCGGTCAACCCAGTAGACGTCCATACCGTAGATAGCTACTCCCATAGGATTGGGTAAGTTCCGTCTGATGACCTGTTGATTACCACCGGTATACGAGACCTTCTGTATCACATCGAATTTGGAGTCCACCCAGTAGACGTCGTGGGTCATGATATCAATTGCAAGGTCGCGCGGTGTACTGATACCGGATGTAACCACTGGTGTCCAGTTGGTACCATCTAAATAAGCCTTTCCTATCTTAGGATATTGACCGTAATCAATCCAGTACAGTAATCTCTTGATTGGATTTACAGCTAGTTCTCTGGGCGCATCCGTAGTCGTCTTAACTAGAATTTTTCTATTGCTACCATCAAGTCGGCACACCTCCACGTAATTGTCGTGGGGGAACACGTTCGAGAAATAAAGATTTCCAGCTATCCAGTCGATAGTCAGACCACGGATACCATTGGAGCCAATGCCATCTTTAATAATTTGCTGAATCTCGGTACCGTTAGGTCTCACCCTGTAGATTCCATTCCACATGCCTCTATTAAATTCCACCCAGTAGATCCAGTTCTCAGCATAAAGGACGTCCACGTGAAGAATATGATGACCACTTCCTGCAATTGGTACCATTGCCTCTTTTGCATCACTCAGACTGTATCCTCTAGCCACATCCAATTGGGTGACAACTGCGAATGTCTTGAAAGGTTCACATCTGGTATCACTGACATTGTAATACTCTATTCCACATGCGCAGACCCTTGTGCCACCAGTAGATGGTAGACATAGTTGTTCGCAGCCTCCATTTCCATTAAGACAAGGGTGCGAACCAGTGACACGTTTCTTATAGATGGTAAGAGTCTTCAACTCTGAATCATTATCAATGATGATTTTTGGATTGTTGCCTTTGGGCAGATCTACTCTCTCTACTTTGTCATGCAGCTGATCCAGATAGTAGAGCTTCGAGTCATGAACAGCCAGGGCCTTAGGAAGAGCTATGTTATTGACTGCGGAGAGAATAACATTGGTAAGAGTTCCATCGGTGGTCATAGACTTGATGAAACAAGGATACTGAGTACTGTAATAGATCAATTTACTAGGGATGTCTATAGTGATAGCTTCCAGCCTCTCGTTACTCTCAAGCAGGACGAGAGGATTGCTACCGTCCATGTTGACTCTTCCTATTTTGACTGGTACGCCAAAACCACCTTCGTCGACCCAGAAGATGTGACCTTCTAGAGGATCAACACACATGGATTTCGGCTTGGCTACGGAGTACTTATTACCGTCATTTGCCAAAATGATGGTCCTGTACTTGATCTTTCCATCCAATTTAATGGCTTCTATATTAGAGGCGAATTTATTACCGATAAAGAGATTTCTACCAAGCCAATCCAGAGCAAATGTATATGGGGAACCAACGATTCCTGTGTCTCCCGCCGGATTTGGGAATTCGGTTCTGTTGCCACCTAGATAGGGGATAGTATAAATGGTTCCATTCTCCTCATCACCCTCCTTTCCTTGAATCCAGTATATAATCTTGTCCCGTCGATCGTAATCGATGAACCTGCCACCTTCCACGCCGACGACTGGGGTGATGTATCCAGTTGTCGTATCACCAGGAGTCAGAGAGACATCGACTATCTGTGATCCACGTAGGATCATTAGATAAGGTGTATCTTCTTCAACACAATTACCATCAGGCATGAGTTTGAAGCCTACTTGACACTTGCATCTGTATCCTGAGGAAGTACTAGGTGACAACAAGCACAGATGAGCACAGGTATTATTAGCACAAGGATTTGGTAAAATAGGTTGAAGTACAGGATGGTGAACATGGATGGAAAGCGGTTGGGAGATCAGATGCGAGATGACAGTTTGATTGGTACCCTTAAACTTGTGTGCAGACAAAACTCGATTAAGTTGTCTATCAGTCCAGTACATCGTATCCTCGAACAAGGTAAGAGAGTGAGGATGAAGAAGGTAATGGGAGCTAGCAAGGACTTGTTGTCTTCCAGAACCGTCGTAGAGACACGTATCGATAAAGTCCAGTTTGCTATCTGCAAAGTAGATCCTCTTGTTGGCTATGTCCAGGGCTAAACCATTAGGCCAATAAATTTTACTGCTGATAATAGTCGAGCGATTAGTTCCATCCATTCCAATTCTTTCTATACGTGGATTCTCGCCCCAGTCTGTCCAGAACAACCAACGCGTGCCAGGACTCGGATCCAGACACATCCCTCGGGGTTGGGTAATGTTCTCTTTAACTAGGACCATCCTGTTGGCACCAGTCTCCTTGGCTACTTCTATTGTATTTAATTTTGAATCCAACCAATATAAATTCTGACCAATCCAATCGTAGGCGAGTCCTTCTACCAAGTCCAGTCCAGTCGATATCACATCCTGGGGATCACTACCTCTGTCTAGCCTCGAGATCTTCTTCAGTTTCATATCCGACCAGAATATAGTACCAGTGTGCATATTACTGGCAATTGCCACAACATTTTCAACCGTGACCGATACTCTCTCCAAAACTTGGTCCTGCAGGTCGGCGACAAGGATCGTGTGTCTGTTGGAAATTATGAGGAAGGCAGCGCTGTGATTGAAAGCCTTGCAGGTATGATTGTCACGTTCCAGGAGGTAACCATCGACGCAGCTACAGAAGTAACTTCCTTTGGTATTGGTACATTGCTGAGAGCAACGTCCTGGTGGATCGCACTCGTTCGTATCCTGACATGTGAATTTATCAGCGCTTAATTCTTCACCAGGTGGACATACGCACTGTGCACCCAGTGGAGTTTGTATACACTCGTTACTGCAGAGCCCATCCTGATGCTGGCATTCAGCCAGGATACAACCTAAGCCTTCATCAGCGCCATTAGGACAATCAGGATGACTATCGCAAACATTAGTGATATTGATGCATTTGTTTGTCACATTAGGACACTTCCACTCGTGAGAGTCGCACTTGAAAGGTGGTGGACCGCAGGCATGTAACGTTGAGTCCTCGTCAGAACCATCCCCACAGTCATCCTTACCGTCACAAATGTAAGCCTTGAAGATACAATGTGAATTTTGACACTTGAAATATCCAGTGGGACAGTCCACTTCACCGCAGGTTGACGGCTCGTCAGATTTGTCCTGACAATCGGGTGTACCATCGCAATACCAGCTTTTTGGTAAGCAAATTCCATCACTGGCGCATTGGAATTGTTTATCCAGGTTGCACTGATCTGGTGCCAGCGAAGGACAACCAATCTCGTCACTGGCATCGTTACAATCTTTGATTCCGTCGCACTTGTACGACTCCAGGACGCACATCTTCTGATCCGCACAGGTGAACTGCGTGCTGAGACAAGTGACTGGAGGACAGTCCATCTCGTCCTGCTGATCGAAACAGTCATTATCGCCATCGCAGACCCAGGACTGAGGTATACAGTGTCCTGATCTAGGACAGGTGAATTGGAAGTAAGCACAGGTCTTGGCGGCACAGAATTCACCTTCGTCTGAACTGTCCCCGCAGTCATTTTCCGAATCGCACTTCCACGTCAACGGGATACAGCGGTTGTTCGCGCAGGCAAACTGACTACCACTACAAGTTCCCTTTGGACAACCCGTCTCATCGCTGTAGTCCCCGCAGTCGTTCTCGGAGTCACACCTGAACCTCATAGGGATACACCTGCCAGATTTACAGGCAAACTCATTAGGACCGCAGGTCGGTTTTGTACAGTTCTGCATCTCGTCACTGTTATCCAAGCAATCATCATCGCCATCGCAAACCCAAGACTGTGGAACGCAACGTTGATTGGCACAGGTGAAATCCCACACATTAGGACATGCCAGGACGGGTGGTTCCGTCTCCGGATCAGCAGCGCAGGTCCTTCCGTTACCTTGAAGTCTCTCGCCATAGGGACAGCCGCAAACTCCAGTAAGTTTAGATGTTCTGAAGCGGTTAGTATTGTTTTGGGGTATTGCGAAGCACAGTTTCTCACAGCCTCCGTTGTTTATTGAGCAAGGATTATCAGAGGTAGGGCTCTGAATGTCACGACTGAACACCTTCACACCGTACAGACGATTCGTGGGTGGTTCACTCACAAGAATCGATTCCTGTTCTCCAGTTTCTTTGTTCAATCTCACAATAGCGTCGAGTCTCCAGTCGGTAATGTACATCCACTGCTCATGGATGGCTATCGAGAAAGGATGCCGTATGAGCCGTGAGCTGATAGTTTTGACATCGGTACCGTCGAGATTTGAATGTTGGACATGATCCAGAAGAGCGTCACACCAGTAGAGCCTATCCTTGGTGAAATCAATAGCCAATCCATTGGGCCAACCCAGAGTAAGATTTTTAAAGACCATCAAATTGGAGCCATCCGCATGAGCTCTGCTGATGTTGGCAGGTCTGTCCCATTCAGAGAAAAATATATAACCGTGGTTAGGATGTATAACAATGGCTCTGGGTCTCTTGAGATTCTTCAGAAGAGTTCTGCGGTAAGTGACGTTCCTAGTACTGAGGACGTTCAAGGTACCTTTACGAGAATCAATATAATAAAGATTCTTGGCGGCCCAGTCGACCGCAAGACCCTCAACACCTTCGTTCTGACTAGCTAAAACAATTTCCCTTCCGGTACCGTTCTGGTGCACGCGATAGATCACATCCTGGAGTACGTCGCTGTAGTAGATGTACTGATCATGAGCATCGTAGTCCAGGCCGACAAATCTGGCTCTTCTTGAGACAACAGGCAGTATCGCATCACTGAATCCTTCCATGACAGGGTCCAGGACTCTGCCCTTGATGAATCTCTGCTGAGTGTACATAAGGAACTCTTGAACCAGGTTACAATTTCTCTGATCAGTGGACAATCTCCAACCGATATTGCAGGCGCAACGATAAGCCAATCCCGTTTCGCGACCTCCAGCAGCTGTTACTATACACATATGCTGACAGCCGCCGTTGTTGTTACCACAGGGATTTGAAACCATCGGTTGCGCCAGAGGATGCAGAACCTTAACGGCCTTGGCTTCTCTCGCCTTGAAGATGCTCTGTATGGAATAATCGCCCTGAGTCTTGTCGACGCTCATCACTGCCTGTTTGGTGCTGTCCGACCAAAATATTCTGTTCTCAAACATAGTGAGTCTAAGGGGCGAAGGAACGCTGGCACCCCTTAGCACCATTACTCTACCCCGACCCATGTAATCCGCAGTCTCAATATAATCTAAAAGCGAATCGCACCAATAAACACGTCCCGTGATAACATCAACGGCAACACCCGAGACTTTGTAGGCCGCTTCGGAAACGATAGGAAACGTCGAGGTCCCGTCCATGTTCGCCCGTAGCACTTGTTTCGTATCAGCAATGAACATCAGACCGACGGTAGGATCCAGGGCAATATCAACAGGACCAGTAAGATTGGAGCCCAGGGCTATACCGTGATAACGTCCGTTCAGCTCAAAGACATCGATCTTCTGCACGACTGAGTCCACGACGTACAGCTTCTGCCCGATCCAGTCGACAGCAATAGAAATCGGTGACCAGGAACCAGGAAGTGATATTTCCAAATCCGAACTACTCGCGTTACCATTAAGCGATTGAGAATGAACTTTTCTGGTCTTGATGTCGCTCCAGAAGAAGAGGTTCGTGCTATAGTAGTAATCGATACCACTGGCACCAGTAGGAATGGCGATCTGCGTTACGTCGTCACCGGTAGCTTTCATCCTCCAGATGGAACGATCCTCAGCGAGCAGCAACTCCAGCGCTGATGTGTTCTCAGCCCTGCACTGATTACGACCGTGCAAAACGTACCCGGGGGCGCAGCTGCAGATGTAGGAACCATCTGTATTCTGGCATAGCTGCTCGCAAAAGCCCCATTCCGAGCACTCGTCTCTGTCTACACATAAGACATACAAGATCAAGATCATCCTCGGATCATCTCACAGACCCACTACTTATAATACAATCGATCATTTCCGCTCTCTACCTACCTATACAGCTTCTTGAATCATTGCCAAGAATACGTCCCTCAGGACACGAGCATACACCTCCGTCAGGAGACGCGTGACACTTGTACTGACAACTCAGTGCCCCGCACATGTTAACAGCTGCAACAGAGACAACAAGGAGTTAATATATATTCATACCTTACATACAAAATCACCACTAAATTATTTCCTTCGTCAAATAAGAGAAAGTCCTACTGAGCTACTTCGGTGACTTACAGCAAGCAGCTTCCTCGTCAGCACCATCAGCACAATCCTTCTTTCCATCGCATAACTTTGACTTGTCCATGCAGACAGGCTTCTCGCCGTTATCTTTGGCGCAAAGAAACTTATTACTCGGACACACAGTGGTCGTGCAATCCTTCTCGTCAGAGCCGTCAGTGCAATCCCGATAGCCGTCACAGCGAAAACCCTTGGGCATGCATATTGCATTGGCGCATCGAAATTGGTCAGCTGTGCACTGAGCGAAACCTATTGACAGCAAAAATATATGAGTCACGGTAATAATAATTTTTTTTTTTCTAATCGAAATCATTCAATTCTTATCATCAATCGTTGAACCTACTGCAGTGCTCCTCGTCGCTATTGTCACCGCAGTCATCCCTGTGGTTGCATCTGGCAGTCTGCTCGACGCATCGCAGCGTCGTGTTGCATCTGAATTGACCGAGTCTACAAGGTTTTGCATCGGTCGGACAACCTTCTTCGTCTTTGCCATTACGACAGTCCAGGTAGCCGTCGCACTTCTTTGACTTGGGAAAGCAAAGCTCAGGATTGGTACCGCCGCAGCGCACGTCATCAGGCTGACACTTTCTGTAAACTAGGAGCGCCAAGATTTTTCGACACTGAACAAGAGCAGTATTGGGACTTCAGTTTCAGTTTGGAATAAATACAGCGTTACTCGAGCGCAGTTCCAAATTTGCATTCTTACTCTGTAAACGCAAGATTCGTGGGTAACCAATTGTGAGCGAGGAAATAAATATCGAAAAGAAAAAAAATAATTTACTTTAATTAATTTACAAAAAAGTTCCTAAAACATTTCTCATAATTTACAATACCAAAGTCAATGTTATGGTAAGTTTCTCGAAATTGCGCATAACCACAAGCAGTGTTTTCAATGACTTCGGCAACGCGTTATAACAATTAAGTAAAAATTAATAAAGTAAACCAAAGTGCTAGGCGGTATGATAACACGTTGACGATTACTCATTAAAGTGTCAATAATAATTATTATTATAAAACGTAAATACGTCGATATCAAAGTGAAAGCATAAATATGGAAATTCGAAAATAAGGATGACTTAAGTTCTTGTAAATCCAGAGTCTGGAACGCTAACAGTCTGCAATAACAAAATATCCTTCGATACAATTGGATAACTTGAAGAAGCCTGCGGGTTAAACGATCGTATGTACCGTAGCATTGCCGATCGTCATTGTAGGCACGAATTAATTGAGGGTTGAGGTATTGGCTGTCAATGAAATTGACAATGACAAAATTCCAAACGAAGGCTGATTGTCACTTTGAAAGTACACGGCAACAGTGGTACTTTACGCGGAATGAATAATTCATATTAAAATGAGTCAATGGTCAATCGATAATGAATATATTCTATATATATATTCTATATATATATATATATACACACACACACATAAATTTGGCTAAGGAATTCTTTGGAGACGATTTCATTTACGAAGCTTCTTATTTGAGATCACGTGGCTGTTTTGGAGTCCGAACTCAAAGTTTTTCCAGGGTAATAAATGTTTTGCGGGCTCTCACACCAAATTTGTTTATATTTTTTCAATGTTAGATTTGAGTATTTGTTAGGTTAGGCTAAGTTAGGTTAGATTAGCTAAAAATTCCAATGCTGTCACATCCCAAGGTATTAGTTTTTTAAAAAAAAAACATTAGTTTGCTATTTTGCCCCTTAATCTTTCGGGTGCCCAAAATATCCCTTAGGCAAACGTATATACGTATATATGTATATATTATATATCTATATATAATAGGTGCCTACCAAAAGTTTTTGTCTATTAATCAAATTAAAATATTGAAAGGGAATACAGTTTTATAATTTCTGTAGGCAATTCAACTACCCTGAAACTATCAACGAATGAATTGTGTGTAATCGTCATTGTCATCGATTGAACAGTACGTATGTTTTTTTTATGTGAGACACGTCAACGTGCCAGTATACTAGGCGAACATTTTACCTAATACAACTATTCGGATACTAAACTGATAAAATTTGTATTGCTTTGAAGATAGTGAACAACGCGTAATTACTCTTTTAAAAGTCAGTTACTGGGTAAATTAACGATGGACCGTGAAACTTTGAAAATTAATCACGCTTTTCTCAAGCAGCATTATGACACGGACAAGGATTAATAAAAAAGAAGTTCTATAATACAATTTTTTTTAAATGCAATTCTTTGACTTGTTACAAAATACAAAGTCTTGGCAATCGTGACGTTTATTTCCATTGCGTTACATCCATCGGGTTTTATTTAGAGAAAATTTTTTTTCGAAGTAACATTCATCCATGGCACAGTTAATTGTAATTAGATACGCGTCGTTACTGTCGGTACGACTAAAAAATTTCGTTCGGACTAACATACCATTAGTTCGCGTTGGGTTTTTCCCGAGGTAAAACTGACACTAGTTTCGACGATTATAAAATCGTCAAAGAGATCGACGGTTACGTAACCGAGCACCATTTTGCCGTAGAACATGACGCGACGTAACGAGAGGTGTCTATATGCATTTAAAGGTAATCTATTCCAAGAACTTTTGAAAGGCATAAGGAGCGTCGTAGAAAAAAATAATAATTACAACATTTTTTTGTCAGAACATTACTCCCCCTTGGACGATTGAGAAATCGAATATGAAAAATCCAAAGACGACGCACCGATATCGTAAACCGTTCACTTGATAAACGGCTGGAAAGTCAAATAAAAATCCCTACCCAAAGAACTACAGCATACATGGACTTGTAATCGACTCAAATATCCAGCAGAGCAGTCCCTATCTCGAAACTGATACACGTTAAATAAACCCCTTGAAATACTCTGCGTACGGTGAAAAGAAATTCTACAAATACAAAATTGACCAGAATGACGTAAGATCGCGGTACAAATTACATTGAATAGTGAGTGGAGGTAAATTTTAAAAAAAACTTTATTTATTAAAAATTGTATTAAACCCCCGCTGTCCTTTTGTCTGAAGTTAGTCACGTAATAGAGGTTATGTGCTATACAGTTCGAGGTTCAAGATCGACTAGGAATATAAACGAAAGAAGTATTGAAAGCTCGAGTGCACCGGTGGCATAATGGATAGCATGCGGTGAAAGCCGTGAAACGTATTTTTAACAATTTTATTATAAATGTTTCCATGCAGCGACAAAAATATTTAAGTAAAACTTATCAACGTTGTGCCCTCTACCTATGTTTTGACTAACTCGTGGAATCTATTCTGAATGTCACGCAATGTAGGGAAAAGGTCGTTGGAGCCGACGTCCCAGGTATAAGACTTAAGGGTAAACACGCAAGTAGCGTCACAACGCTCGATTACGAATTCAACGTCTCCATTTATACATGAAAATGACATTGATCAATGCACAATTAGTCGAAGAGTCATTTGCATGTATGTTGACGCGTTCCCCATGAGCCTAAGTCATACACGTTAGACAGGCCTGGTTCACATTTGGCGAACGTAACGCGTCGTACGTGCGTCCGCAATACGTATTAAATACGTATCGGCCGACGATTCTTCCTAGAGTCCATTAGGAGAATACAAAGCTACAGTTTGACAATCAAATAAGGAATGACAATTGAAAGTAACTATACTCACTGCAACTGGCTTCGTCGGAACCATCGACGCAGTCTACAGTCACGTCGCATTTTTGATGAGGTGGAATACAGTAAGTTTTATTGAAAATATATTGGTTGCAAGTAATCTGGCCGATATCACATTCGGGCGGTGCTGAAAAGAAAAAGAAAAAAGAAAATCAAAATTCGAATACAAATTATGCAATAATTATATGAACATAGATATAAACCGTGTGACGTCACGAGTGACGATTCTAAGGTATGCCTAGACTTTTTTTCTTCAAATTTTTCACCTGACGACTTCCGGTCATGTCAGCCGGAAAACTCGTTTAAGGAAACAAGTTCCGTAATTTTGCATAACAACGGTTACGATCGTCCCGCGAATGTACGATAATACGGATCAGGATTTAGCCAATCTCACATTGTGAGGATCGCGTCCACGTTTTTTTATTCCCCTTCCCGTCCCTTTCTTTTCCTTTTTTTTTTTACGTGCTCGCGCACGTTGGTTGGTTTTGCGTGTCGTCGGGAAACAAGGTCATGCGCGCTTCCGGTTCGGCGAGCCCCTCGCATAACAATCACTGACGATCGCACCGACTATTACGGGGATCTTTCTTCCGTGTGCAGTATGTAGGTACCTGCATAACCGGAACGATAGATACATTTACCTGATATATATATACGTGTATATTCACCTTTTTAACTTATACACAAATTAACCTAAAATATCTCAAATTTCTATTGCCCCTGGCAGTCCCAATCGTCGCCATCAACAATTCGAACAAGCGTGACAAAAAGTGAGGTTATGTTTAACCTAAAACTAATTTTTAACCTAAACGTATTTGCATGAATCTCATTATTTTGTAAACATAAAGAATACACTTATAGATCTCTATGGCTGATACTTACGACAGTTGTGCAACTCGTCCTCCCCATTGGCACAGTCACGTTGGTAGTTGCAGACCCGTACACCCGGGATGCAAGTACCTTCAAGGCATCGAAACGACCCAGGTGGACAGGAACCTCCGCTGCCATCGCGTGGTAGAATCGACAGAGAAGTGGGATCTGATAAACAATATTCAAAGCGTGATAAGTAAAAGGTTCGATCTAAGTTCGACAAGAATATTATTCTGTAAGGTTACTCTGCTTGGTTTTAATACATTACGCCATTTTGTACGTTAGTTGACAGTACAATGGGCGCCAATGTTTAAAATCCACATTCGGACGGTACGAAACGCGCCCATATTGAGATGACGTAAAATTTAAGTAACGGTTAAAAACAGCTGTGGTGGCGTTTAAAATTAATCAAGATGGCCGACACAATACGAAGACTCGTGAAGGTGTCTTAGCATTTTCTTACAATGACATGTTAAAGCTTGAATAATGTCAATCTACTTCCCCCTCGAGAGACCCCTTTCTAATAAACATGACTAATTGTAAGTATTAATTAGATTGTCGACCTGTGTGATCGATTGTCTCGTGTCGAGCGTAACTGCTCGTATTTGAAATGCCATTAATTCGTCGCAGAAAATGGTCTTTGTATTTTATCAAAGCAATGGAAATTCAAAGGAGAGACCGGCTTGAATAATGTTGGATTAAATTTCCATCAGTCTCCTTTGCCGTGGATTTCTTGGATGGTAACAATTACGCCGAAGACTTTCTTCCGACTACAATAACCGCGGCTATCTTTGTTCCAGAATTGTTCCGTTGAAACGCGTTATTTTCACATTACCAAGAAAGTCCTAATACATTTACAGTATAACTGCAGAAAGTCTGCAGCCATAATCAAACGTACCTATATGTATATAGATATATATGTATTATATATACTTATCATGCTACGTAGGTAAGCTGCCGGTTATATATATACAATACCAAAATTTTGAGATAATCAAGGTTGAAGTTGCAGTAATGCGACCAATCAGAACGCGTTTAAACGGAGCGTAGATGACGTCGCGAGTCAGCCCACAAGGCCTGCTTACACAAGGCCGATAACACTAAGAGTATCGTCTCGTGTATCTTACTCAATTACATGCAGATAAACAGGGACACTACGACGATTAGTGTTATTGGCCTAGTGTAAGCAGGTCTTGCGGGCTGACTCGCGACGTCATCTACGCTCCGTTTAAACGCGTTCTGATTGGTCGCATTACTGCAACTTCAACCTTGATTATCTCAAAATTTTGGTATATGAAATAAAAAATGAAAATACACGTATTTTTTAGAATTTGACAAGGAATGCAACGGTGTTACTACAGTGCGTTTCATAACGAACATCCTGTATACATATATGTATAAGGGCATGCATCTGCATAATCAGAAAATGCAAGGAACGCATGAGGCCCCGCGAGTTTATTAATGGCGGAGGTCGTGTCACATTAAAAGAAAAATTGCCGGCAAAGGATATACATAAAGCTTGTTAAAGTCGAACGTACGCATCCTCCACGAAATACATACAAAGTAGTCGACATTCAGAGAGACTATAAAAAAATGGTCAACGTTTCGTACTTTGGAATTCACATAAGGAACGAAACGCGTCAATTAGCGTCGGCATGGCGTTTATCCACGTGTCCGAGCAGCGTGTCCAATTCGGGTAAAACAAAAGTTCCGCTAGTTGTGACGACGCTGAGAAAAGAAGATCGCTTACGATAGCAGACGCTCTCAATGGGCATATAAAAAGAAACGTTAAAAAGAAACGTAAGACTCACCTAAAAATCGTTCGTAGCCCGTAACGTCTTCTCTTTCGGTAAAGAGAAAGAGTGAGAAGAAAAAACTGTAAGGAAACGACCCAATTTCAATCACGTAGAAATTCCATGAACCACGAACGAAAGCCCTGAAAACTTCTTTGCCGAAATTTCGACGCGAAATGCGTGAGCGATGAGAAAATTTTCGACAAAACCTACACTGATTCGTCACTCTCGAATCTTCTTCGAACGTCCGCCATCTTTGATAGCTTTCTCTCTTCGATTCTCCCTTTGTCGAAATCACCAAGTAAACACATTAGCGTCTTGCCGGAATACTCAAGATAATACAATAAATGCAAGAGCACGATAACAAAGTCGTAAGTTGTAACGTAGTAAATTGTCATCGAAACGTTAGTTTCGCTTAACGATGCCACGCCATTCGATAAAAAAAAATGTTTACAGAGCGACGCCGCTCTTCGGGGTAATAGTCAGTCATTCGGAATGTCGATTATAAGCGCAGAAAAAAACAGAATTAAGATGAAAACAATTGAAGAAAATAATCGAGTCAAGAAAAAAAAAGCAATAGTAAACGGTATTCGGAACGCAACGACCAAGGTAGTCGATGACGTATCGTCATCGTCTCGTAATCGAACACATACGCCCGTTTTCTTCAACGCGGTTCACTGCATAAACTTCGTTTATCTTCAAAATATTAGGTCGAGTCATAAGTATCTGATTAGGTAACAGCACAGTTAAACGGATTTTACGCATTGAACCGCGTCGAAGAAAACGGGCGTTAAAGTCATAACAAACAATCCATTGTGCATCAAGTATATCCTCAGTAACATTCACCAATAACTAGAAGCCATTCCAAGTCCTGTCACCTTGTAACAGAAGTTACCGACAGAAGGACAAGGGTCTGTCATAACCTCAAAAAGATTGTTAGAAAAGCGATAATTCCCCAGTCACTACAATATAAAAATTTTCCTCGGTACTACCAACCACCACCATACCCAATACGGTCAGGACAGTGGATGTACACCGGCTCTTACTTGTATTACGATTAGACATCAGTACCCGGTACGCATTATAACCCACTCACGAATAATAATAACGGCCTTCTATACAAAACTCGATTCGTACGAACCTCCTTGTAGCAAGCGTGCAGCCAGCCAGTCCACGCTGTCTGCACAGACTATACATAGTCTACAAGATACAGTCAACAGAACCGTCGAGCTATAGCTAGACTGAATTTTCCAGACAAGAATTCACCGTCGAACCAAACAAACCCGGTCATTGATACTCCAACTAGCTGTATAGCGCACCTAACCTAAAAAAAGAAGCCCGCGGCACGAAGAATCCAGGTGAACGCAAAGTTGTTGGACAATTGAAAAGTGAATTCCCAATCGCATCGATTGCTATTACCAAACTATTGACGGAATCCAAACGAAAATTCACAGAGAGAAGTCCGTGCGAAGTATCTAAGAAGTGAAGTGAGCCTTCGTCGTACGAAGAGAAGTGAAGAGTGCCGAGAGTCGATGTATATATTGTGTGTTCTGTGTGTGTATGTTTATATGGCGCACGGTAGACCCCGTCGAGGTCCGCGGCGCGGCTCGGGGCCAGAGGAAAGAGACTCCGGTCTCCGAAGTGCAGCGTTCGTGCCAGGCTGCGCGGCCTGGTACCGCAGAACGGAGAACGCTCGCTTCGGAGTACATGGTCCGTGTCTTTACCTACTTGGCAAGCCGGGAGCGCGCACAGCCTCGCAGCCGAGGCTGCGTTGAGCACGTAGAATTCTATGAGAACGTAAAACGGACGCTAACGATAATCCCTCTATCCAGTGTACCACATCCTTTTCTCTTGCTGTGTCTGTCCCGTCTCGATCCTTTGCACTTGGTAAACGGTTCGTATACCGAGTGCTGATGCCCTCACGTATGCAACGGGTGGCGTTCGTAATGATGACCCTGTTCTAATATCATTGATCTGACGGAAACTCGAGTTAAATACGAATTATCGAGCTTGACCGTTGGCAACCTTTATTGGAGATTATTGACAATTCTTAATGGTTACGTAATGACGGACTGAAACGTTTTTTTTTAGACGCGATCGATTTGGATTAATTTTTTTTTTATGTCAACCATATACGGTGTGACGTAAGTACGAAATAGTGGGCGAGGAAGATCGTATGGTTACCGGAGACATATTTAATGGTGATGAAAAATAAATGTATTTTTGAAATATTCACGAAAAAATAATTTTCTCGAGAATTATACCGCGTGGCAAGATTTTCTGGAAATTAATTTCACAGATACCTACGGGCTCTTACGGAGTTGTGAACGCGGCTTCATGATTTTCCCTTCGCCACACCATCAATTGATCATTAGTTTCTTCGAGGTCCGCGCATGCACTCACGTAGCCAAAAGGCTTTCTTGAATAGCGAACCGCAACCAGGCGAACAATGTGTGACGTGGCCTTCGCCGATACAATCGATCGAATTATTTATCATACTTGATCGAGTCCTAGGTAATAAATTTCAATTATCATAAAATCTCACACAAAGTGAATTTTGCATACTTTTTTTTCAGCCAACGACCATCCTTACTCATCCACGGCGATGAAACGCGAACCGTGACGGCGTCGAGTGTGAAAAGAATTCAACTCTTGTGCGAGTTGGCAACAAGGAGACATGGTAGAAGGAAAAAAGATATTTAAAAAAAGGAAGAAAAGAAAAAGAAAAACCGTCTCGCATCGTCGCGAGTCGACGATTTAATGACCTCAGTGAATGATGAATCAGCATGCCTGCCGCTAATTACCTTAAATCTAATTTCACTCGCGACGTACAGAAATTGATCAGCGAGTAAAAACACCTATTTTACATACATGCGTTCCAGACGCATGTCGATAAACGTCGTAACTAAAAAAAAAAATGCCTGAAGCAAAAAAAGGTCAAAATCGAATACATAGGTCTAAAATTACAAATTTTAATTTGACATCTTCCATCTGCGAATTCCGTGTAAAAGATTAGCGCCTTAAGGTCAGCGTATAATCGCGCGATGATTTGACGCGTTAGAATGAAGAATACGTACGATAATTTATGTACGCCTAAGAGAAAAACATAATGGGGGAAACATAAAATAATTAAAGAAAAAAAAAAAAAATGTCAGAAACATCGTACGTATACACACACATAATATATCTAACGACAGTCATGTGACGACAACCGTCGTTGTTTTTTTTTTTCATTCCTGAATCTCGTTATGAACGGTACCTTAAGAGCTCAAACTGTTCCGTGCATATTAAAGTCGTCAGTGGCGTTATAAGGTAGAAGTGCCGCTAATAAGAGGAAGTGGACGGTGTCCATTCTGTGATGGCTGGAATTAAAATAACCTTATAATAAGTCTCGTAAGCGCGTCGCAACATGGCGGCCGGCATCGTCCTCGCCGTGGACGCCACCACGATTACCCTCGGGCACTAAAGTACGACGCAAGAACCACAAGCCAAGATCAGACCGTGCGTAGTATCGCGAATTGAAATCGAAGCGAGCCAGTAGAGTCAGGTCAATGACATAAATTCGAGGTATAAAAAAATAATTGACCATTGGCCACGTTGCGTACTGGCAATAAATTCCACAAAAATTGGCGGGCTCTTTGAATACGAAATTATGCACGACACAAGGTAAATGACTGTACAACGAGTAAAATACGCATTTTTGGTTATAGCTCGATGGAAAATAAATATTGAGAAACTCTGCAGTGTCCTTTTTCAAGAACAAAGGATCCACTTTGAACTAAGGTAGGCTTTTCCTGAAATGCTTTCAGGGTATAAATATTCAATTCACGGTATCTACAGCGTCGATGTTAAATATATATATATATATATATATAGTGCACAGTATAGAGGAACAACGTTGGGTGAGAGCATTTGAACACTCCGAGTGAATCTTCACGGTATCTACAGCGTCGATGTTAAATTCAAGAACAAAGGATCCACTTTGAACTAAGGTAGGCTTTTCCTGAAATGCTTTCAGGGTATAAATATTCAATTCACGGTATCTACAGCGTCGATGTTAAATATATATATATATATATATATAGTGCACAGTATAGAGGAACAACGTTGGGTGAGAGCATTTGAACACTCCGAGTGAATCCTGAGTCAAAGAGGCGGAAGCAGTAAAGGTCGAAAGAGAATTGAGTTACAGAAGAAAGGGAGTTCGGCGAGATGAGATCGAGTGCCGAAGGCATTAAGGAATCTTCTCCCGGAGTAGGAGTGGGTCACCGGCTCACAGTAGTATTATGGATACACGCTATACAAGGAGTTGCCCATAGCTGTAATGAACGTGCATAAATTGTGAGCCACCCTATATATGGGTAAGAGGTATGAACCGCCACGAACAAGTCATAGCTGACAGTCTAACGAAAGAGCCGGAGTCAGCGAATTCCTGGGCAGGGGGTACGGGAGACATCCTCGAGGCCAGATAAACGAATACGGAGGTAACCTGCCAACTGTTGGGTATACCTGTACAATGTATGGTCATATATTAATAACTAGGCGTATTCACATAGATGCAACGAGAGCATACGGTTATTACCGATTACGACCGATCGCGATCGGACGGGCATGGCTGAACGTTAACGAGCTTTTGACGATCCGGTCGCTATCGAAATTACCCAGAACCACCGGGGACTGTCTTATTACGTTACAAGGAAGACCCGGGACTAGCTCTGAGAAATCCAAGCAATTTTCGTCTTGAGGATTGAACGGCGCCTGGGATCCGGGGGTCTTTTATCTATGGCAAATCGTTCGCGTAAGACCCCTGGGAACGGTAACTCTCATCTGCAGAAGTGTTTCATGGAAATCCATCCGGGAATAGAGTCTAACTGTTAAATATATATATATATATATATATATATATATATATATATATATATATATATATATAACAC